TCCTACTGAAGAAAGAAAAAATGTCAAAAGAAAATATATAAAGAAGAGCACAGCTTCCCACTTTCCCCCTGCTTTTAGGGTTCCCTGTATAACAATATCACTACAAAACAGAGGCCTACCCGTCTCCCCATTACTCATATCAGTATTTTCATGGACTTCAGTGAGGCTATTTGTGTGAAGGACTCAGGGTGTTTCAAATGGATTTCATTGCTAAGCAACAGAAAGTCCTATATTAACTTAATAACTCTGGTCTCTCCTATTTTTTTCAGGTGTAAAATACATAGTAGAGTGTTTCTGATTTTATTTTCATCATGTGTTTTGTGGCTGTGCTCTGTGCGAGGGGCTGGAGATGATTTTTAGGGCTCTTGAGATAGTTATCTACAAATGTGGGACTGGACTCAGTAGCCCAAGAGGCCCCTTCCAGTCCTGTTATTATGATTATCAATCAACACAAAAGCATTTGTGGAAATATATCAGTATGGAACCGGGGCCCTTCTATTCATCCTTTTATAATCATTCCACATTTCTAAAGCTCCTTTGTGCCCAACAGATCCTATGGCTCTATACAGAGGTTTCTGAGGGGCAAATGTTCTGCATCTTTCAAAACTGTAATATGCAAATCGGTGCTCGGTCATCCTGTTTTACAGCCTTGTGGAATTCAAATGCAACTCGCAGACATTCTTTAGAAGTTTTTAATTAAGATGACATTTGACTGTGCTGACCAGAGTTATTTGCCCCTAATCAGGCTCTGGCATATTGGCATGCTGAAAGTAAACGCTTGCTGAAAAAGTCAGAACTGTGCTCACGGGACCATCTAGAGATCTCGTTGTGAACCACTGATGCAAACTGCCTGGCATGAGATATGCAGGCTTTCCCAGTAGCAAGCCTACAATATTTGGGGCTGACCTTGTGGTAGCTGTGGCCTGTTCCTTTTGGTCTTCTTGTCCATTAGCAGGCTGCTCGTGTGCCCCTTTTGTCTACCCTTGCCTAGTGGCATTTGAAGATGTGAAACCGGCCCATCAGGCTCCCCGTAAACACCATCAGCACTACTCCAGGGTTCCCGGGGCCTTGGCTGGCCAGATCTCGGCGTGGGGAAAGTCACACCAATATCTCGCGTGTTTTTCTTAGTTGCGCTATTCACAATCTCCAAGTCTCCTGCAGCTCAAAACACAGAACAAGGCACATTAGCCTGGAGTACAAGGATGATGTGCATGGAGCAGACAAACCCTTCCCACATCTTTAAACCAAACTAAGCAAATGGCTTGCAAGCATATCGCTGTGCTCTTAACTTTGTCAGAACCCAGCGGTTGAGTAGGATTGAACCAGACCAGAAGAAAGGTGGAAGACTTCCATATGAACACCTTTATCCTGTAAAAGGTGAGGTTAGCAATTCACAGTGCGACACGCACCAGATTTTGTTAGCTTTTTGCCACTTAAATTTTAATCTTAAACATAACGATTGAGTGCAGTGGACTAGAGGCTGTCTTGAGGCTGTCTCTTTTACTCAGCCTTTTGCATTACCATTTCAAACCCTCAGTTCAAATTCATAGTGATCAAGGTATGTTACTACATGATAATGTAAGTGCCATTAATTTTCTGGTGTCTGTTCACCTAGGGAGCCAAAAACACTAATGTAACTGGAACTAAAGTTGCTAGCAGTCTCAGCAGAGGTCAAGACTGAACGGGGCAGTAGAACGAACTCCCCTTCCCACGCCTGCTGGAAATACCCCTGGATCCAATTCAATACACAGCGGCAGATCAGCGCATACTGTACTGCCGCTGACAATAGTACACAAAAAAAAAAAAAGCCTTCAGTCCAGCACTTTCTACCAATGCTAAATTTCACATGCACTGCATTTGTTAATAGATCATTTGCAACGGAGGAGTAAAAATACATTTAAATGTGTGTAAGGATAAGGCACCCATGAAAGAACGTTACAAAAATTCCCACCTCACGCACCAAGTCTGCTTGCACACCTGCACCAAAATCAGGATATTGAAAAACAAATATTTGGTTTGTCCATCAAAACTACTTACCCACAAGTAGAGTTTGGCAGGGACGATTTAAGAGAGTGATTGGAATGAAAACTGTCACCAGAAAAGGAGAAGCCTGGACACCCAAATTTATACCAGTTAACTGTCAAATCGTGTCTTAAGCAACGGACAAGAGATGTCCAATGTTACCGAGAGAGACACGAGACATGGTGAGCTCACAGACCAGTCTGCTGAAATGGCAAATGCTCACGAAAGGTGTTTTGTTACTAGTGTATAGCCAAATATCTGCTAGAATTTTACTCAACTCTCACAAGAGAAAAATAATATACGAAGGACCGAGAAGTCACTTCTTTGGTACCCACGTGGATTTCAAGTCTGGGTTCGCAACTCACAGATGAGCTAATAAATTGAGTACCGGTACAGCGGGAGCCACCCAACAGAAGGAAAATGCCTAAATCTGAGCTCCAAGCAATACCTTATTGCGAAAGGATCCAGGAAGTAGAAAGCATGGGAGGCAAGTGCCTAATGCCAGCAAATGTCTTAGACTCTGAAGTGATTCTCTATGAAAATACTGAAGAAATAAAAGCCGGAAGACGCGAAGTGCGGAGTTGAGTAATTCACCTGCTTGGATGCCCTTGTTCAACATCCGTGCACGGCGCTTGGTACTGAGAGCAGAGCTGGGCCCCCAGGAACTGCTGGCCGTAGAAACAGAGTCTGATGAAACGCAGTCGACTACCTAGGGAAGACAAAACACAAGAGGCTGCATTTTAACTCGGCTCATTGTTGGCGGACGGAGCATCAAGCTGCAAGCGAACAACAGTGATGGCTTCGTCTCTATCTGCTGCACCATGAACCTGTCAAATGATTCAATCAGCCGGTCTGCACAGGCCTACCAGCATATTTGCTTGATATCTTACACAGGTCAGCTAACTTTGACTTCCTCTCGTTTAGAGGAACAGAGGTATGTCTGACATCCAACGCAACTAGCTAGGAGCTTTACTCTTCTAGTGAAAAAATGACAGCGCGAGACAGCTTGGCCACCACTTACTACCCCAGTCATCCCAGGAATGCTCCCATACATGACATATTTTATTTTATTCAATAAAATTCAGGTTCGAAACAAAGATTTTTAAACCCCATGTGCTAGCTGAGCTGTGTGAACGCCTTGTTAGCCGGAACAGTGTTTGGACATGGTTTCTATGGACAGATGCCATCCTAGGCAAGGTACTAGGTTGCTCAAAAGTGGTGTGGCACTGAACACTTATGTTCACGGGGCAATATGGCTTGTCTATGCAGGTCTCCCGCAGATCCCATGATATAAGATTTCAAGAAACACTCGTCTGTTCCACTTTTGGGGACGGAAGCCTAATGGTTGCTGATAAAGCATTTATCTCCTATCCGTGGTGGTATTTAAGGCAGAAGCCTGCTTTGCCTACTCCAGCAGTGCCATTATAAGCATCTCACCAGGGAATGAATGTTCATCCAGGCTTGCTGGTCACAAAATCAGGACGGCCTGAAAGAGAAGTTCTGTGCAACTTCAAGGGAAAAAGATGCTCCGTCCCTCATGAAAGCATAATCCTCTAGAGCAGGAGTTTCCATCCGTGGTTTGTGAAACCATCTAAGGTAAGTGGTCTGTAGCTGGTCCACAGATGGAACTTGCTTCTGCCTTTTTGATTAAAAGTTTGAAGATAAGGGTGTGTCATGACCCATAAGAAAAACATTGAGAGCTGAAAGTAGTCTATAGGGGCACCTGTACACACCACGGGGTTTAATCCTCATTCAATTAAATAGGTTTATAAAATTTAAACTTGTTTATTTTGGAGCATCACATCAGTGTTTGCATGCACTTGGTTTTCAGATGAACTAAGCCCGGTCCCTGGCCGGCACCGCAGAAGAGCAGGACGTTCCAGCGCTGCTCCCCTCCCCAGCCTGGTCCCCCACCACGTGCCCTGCCACGCAGCTGTGGGAGCACAGAGCCGGCAAATGGCGCAAGGAAAAAAAAGTGGAAGCAATTCGAAGGGGTGAACTACAAAAAAAGTCTGAGCACCATCTGGTGGACAAAGAGGTTCATTACACATCTTTGAGTGCCTGTGTGTTTGCACACAATGAATCCACGGACGCGATGCTCTAATTCGTGGCTAGCCAAATTAAACTACGTCTCAGGAGTTTTACTTTAATGAACCAGAAAGACTTTTAAAGCATCCGGAAAACCCGCTTGTGCAAACAGTCACGGCGTTTCAGTGCAAAAAAGGGCAAACGATGTGGCATGTACAAAGGCCCTAGGTCCATAAACTCTGGGAACCACTGCTCTAGGAGGGGGCCTCACATTCCTACCCTCTAAAAAATTATCTGAATACTGTCAGAGGAACAGACTGTACTGGATGCCTGAAATGTAGCACTGTTTAGTTCTGCAGTGTCAACAAGAGAAAACAGAAGCCTTTCAAGAAAGGCGTTAATAAGTCTTCCTACTCTGCAGGAAAAAAAGAAAAGAAAAAAATCAATGTTCCTGACTATGACAAAACCTACCCAGCAAATGGTAATCCACAGAAACAAGACCGAGGGATCTCAGTAGCAGGAACATGGCTAATGCAATAAAATAGGGTTAAAACCATCACTGCAAGGGGATTGGAAATGACAACTAATTATCTGTGTGTGAGTCATTATCAATAATTAGCCATTTTCTCCACTTTTCAGGAGACAGCTATCATCACCTTCATGTGACCACTCACACAAGAGCCTCCCTTATATCTGCAATGCATTTACAAGATGCTGCAGACCTCAGTACCTGACAGGTCACTACAGTCAGACCCAGATATTTCACGATGCCCCATCCACAAATTAACAGGGATATACGGAGCTGCAGCAAACACCTGCGTGGGACTGCCGACGTGCTCCAGCTGCTTGCTGTTGCTTTTGTTTTAAAAGGAGCTGTCTCTGCTCAGTGCACTGACAAATAAGGTAATAATGATGAACTAACCCAGTGACACATTACTCGTCCTTTCATTGCACGTGCACTAATGCCTCTGTTCCTCAAAACTAAACCGCAGTCCCAGATACAATATTGAATGGCATGCCTTTGTCAGTTTATGCAACGAACTTCTCGTCATTTAAATGTACAGTATTCTTTCTGCGACTATGATTAACGTATTTCACAGTCCCTGCTTTTTGATTATGTAAAGAGCAATGATAGTGTTTGAGAAACACAGCATTTATTGACAATGCTTCCCCGGAATTCAGCTTCACAGAGGTGTCAAGCAGTTGCTACAACAGAATTTGAGTCCGTTTTTAATAAGGAATCCGATTTTTTCTTGTTCCTATCTCTGTAATTAGTATCTTATTAATGACTCATCACACTAAACATAGGAATAAGCAGAAGCTATTTTTTTTGTTGCCCTGAAACTACTGTACCTTCAGTCACCACATCAACGCGGCACATAATCTCATTTTCCACATTAAAAGCTTTATTTTGAGACATATTGGCATGCGTCACTTCACATCCTGTAAGATCTGCTAGAGCAATAGTTGGTTTTACAAGACAGACACACACCTGCCTATCCGAGAACAGGATTAAATCCAAATATAGGTCCTGGCGAGACTCTTTATTCCACATACCAAATAGCTATTTTCCTTCCACAGGAGCAGAAGTTAAGTATATGCAACTATTCACCACTGACCATCTGTATCTACTTATTTTCATTTGTACTAAACTCAGGGCAAACTTTAGTTTTATGGTTGGTACCAGATACTGCTTTAATAGAGGCTTTAGAAATTAGAGAAATTGGGTTCGATAATAAATTCTGCGGATGGTCCAGGCTTCAATCATTTACTGTTGGCGTTCTGTGCAAGCAGAAATAATAATATATTCAGATAAACCAGGGTTATAAAAAAGATGGCTGTAAGAAGTGATGCTGTCTCACGCTGTGAGTAGTCTATAATAATTTAATTTGTACCATGCCTTATCTAGAATTAAGGGTTTCTATAAATAAAAGTATAGTTATTGCAGGCTCTGCCTCTGAATCTACCTGCTTACTTCTATTACGACAGACAAGACACTGCTGTTGTTGCCTGTATCACTCCCACATAACTACGGAAGGACAAGCTGGATTTCTATTCAGTCAAAGCATCAGAAATAATACGCCTCACACTTGTATTATATAAATGCCAAGTATTATAAAATAGATTTTCACATGCAAGTACTGCAGAGATTCATTTGCTCCCCTCCACATGCACGTTCTCCTTCCCCTCTGGCACCCCCAAGGCCATCTAGATTTAGCACCACCCTTCAAATTAAAACACGAGGTACTTGTCCCTTGACTTCAGCTCATCCGACTGGTGATGTTAATAGACCAAGAAGGAACAGGAGGCATTTGTAGGGCTGACGAGGAAAAAAAATGTGTTCCGGACCCATAGATCAAATAATCTTAATGTAAAAAGTGATCTAGCATCAGGAAATACGTAGTCATATAGCACCAGAAAAGTGATTTTTTCCAACTATTTGAGTTGGTCTAACAAATGATACCAGATTTACCCAACGAAACATGTCTGTCTAAAACTGCAATTTTAGGATCATTTAAGGATAAAATCATGTGCCCCCCCCCCCCCCCCCACTTCCGAAGCATTAGCCTTGAAAAGGCTCCATTTTCTCCCATGTACTTAATAACTTACATGACACATTAACAGTTATTAAAAGCTTCAATTAAAAAAAATATCAACTCTATGTCTCAAAATGAAAATGCAGATTGGCATTGATGGCACCATCATTTTCTTCCCTTAAAAATTAAATGAAATACATTAATGTTGAAAAACTATGGGAACCACCACATTTTAAATAAAACAAACTAGATTGCGATGTTGCCTGCTATCCTCAAGAAACCGATGCTAACAGCCCCTTTCCAAGAGTTATTTCTCATTTCTGTTCCTCACGGGGCGCATCCACACAAGACATTTTCTGTGGAGCAGCCTAATTAGCTCCAAAGTACTCTCAGTGTCTCCACGTGCAACCCTATTAGGCTGCAGTAGACCAATTAACTCTGCCATAGGTTAGTAGTTGTAAATACAAGTATTATCCTCCAGTGGCATTCTTTAGTGTGCAGCAGCGCACGTGTAGGTACGCTGAGCCGGGTCAGAGCAGATCCGGGCTGTAGGCTGACCCCAGGGACCCTCTCCCCCTGCCAGCCGGGGCTGCTCCAACCCGGTTCAACATACTGCAGTCCTGGGCGCACATGTAAATGCAGTGCCCAGGAGCAATAAGCTCTAGTGCAATATGCGCTGGAGTTTATTGCGTCGCATTAATTTCACGTGTAGATGTGCCCAGGGGGCCAAGTCCAAAGCAATTAAACCCAATGGAAAGACTTTCAGTCATTTCAAGTAACTTTGAACTAGACTTCCAAATAAAAATTCTCCCAGCAAAAGTTATCCTTTAACTCATCTAAAGCGTCATCATTAACTACCGCCACCAAATGTTGGCAAAAAAAGTTCTGAAATCCCATTCCAGATTTTGTTCCCATTTCGTTTGACCTCAGCACCCTTTCCTGCCATGGCAGGGGGTCGGACTTGATGGCCTGCTTAGGTCCCTTCCGACCCGACCTACTATGAAATAAATCCTTCATATCAACACAATAATTCTTATTAAATTCCAATCACACCAAGCAAGATCGAAGGCTCCCCGGAGATGCTCAGGCAGCACAGCCAGTCACCAGATAGAGCTGAAGGCTGCAGCCTTGCTTTCCCAGATTGCCTTGCAGGATTACAGTAATAGATAAGGAATCTCTAATAAATTATTAACGTATCGATAAAAGCCAGACCTTCTGATGCTACAGCAGGGGTCAGCAATGTTTTTGGGCTGAGTGCAAAAAAACCCCGCAACCTCGACATGAAAGATGTTGGCGTGCCAGGGCAGATGGCAAGGAGCCTCGAGGGGCCCGATGCTTGTGGCAACGCAGCTCCAGCCCCTTTGCCACTGTGCTCCCCAAGGCACGTGCGAAGCTGCCGCCAGCAACGAGCCAGGCCAGGGCTCTGGACCCCACTGCAGCTGCTCACAGCTTCGCGGGTACCTGCCACAGAGCCTGGCCTGCTCGCCACCTGCCGCGGGCTCTGGGCAGGATCCTGCTGCCCACCACAGAGCCTGCCCAGAGCCCAGGCTGTTCGCAGCAGGCAGCAACCAGCCCAGGCTCTATGGTGGGCAGTAGGGTCCTGCGCAGAGCCAGGGCCGGCTGTGGCACGTCAAGCAAAACAGCTTCACGTGCCATGCTCTGGCACATGTGCTAAGGGTTGCCAACCCCTCTCCTACAGCATAAGGAGGAAGAAGTGAATGAAGGTAGGAAAAGATGGGAAAATAATGTTGCAAGAGATTTTGCAGCCCTTGTTTTTTTCCGAAAGAAGGGGAAAAAAACTTGATTTTGTTTTAGGGAGACTTACCTGGTGATAGATGCCTGCCCTGTAACAACCCCCTAAGACACGAGTGTGACCATGCTGCAAATAAAGAACGCCCGCTAAGTTTTCCACTCCATTTATCATGCAGCTTCAATCAACCCGTTAGGAAAGAAAATTAGCGTGCCCCTTTGTTGAGCCGATCACGTACCTGGATCTCTCTTTTTCTATGCAGCTCAGCATAAGTAGCTTTAGGATACTCCACGCCCTTTCCTTTCCTGCTTCCCTGGCCCCAAATGTCAGAGCGACTTTTCTGCTGACTGATGGTAAAATACAGGTGGGACAGTCTTGGTGACACGCGCACTCTTTCGTGCCCAAAAGCCCTGATCAGCCTGGCAGTGTCAATGGTGGAAACGGAACTGCTCACCTCAGTCTGAGTAGCCATTTCTGTCTCTGTTTGGGACACCACGTCCGATTCAGAGGTGGTAGTAATTGCCACCCTGCTGTGGTTGTTAGCAGACTTGGTCTCTGAAGAGGTGTCACTCAAGGTATCCGAGTACTGCTGCTGTTCCAAGATTCGCTTGATGCGACTGATGGTTCTTTCTCCTGCCCTATATTTTCGTGATTCTGCCAGCCTTTTTTTATCATAACTGGTCTGTGGCCTTTCTTCAGCGTGCAATGCATTCCTATGAGCGTCAGACTCGTTCCAGTCCTGGAGTCTGATTTTCTTCTGTTCCCTTCCCTTAGTCCTCCCTCCAAAATCGCTCTCCTCCTTTGCAGACATCAGGGTATGCCGAACGGGATTCTGGAGGACTCTTGCTAGTCGATCAAGGCGCTCCACTAAAGACAGCTCATTGCTCCGAACATTAGGGAGCGGGTGCTTCTTTTGGCGCTCTAAAAACTTGGCCCAGAGGTCGTCTAAGCTGCCAGTGGAATCGGTACTCTGTTTCAGTGGCAGATCCTTCTTCGGCCTCACTTGAAAGCCAGTCATTTGGCTGCTTTGTGGTGGATAATCTCTGGCCTTCGTCTGGCCTGCCTGCCTTTTGTCATCTTGGATTATTAGCTCCTTCCGAGAAGCTTCATTGCCTAGACATGCGCAGAATTGGGAGTCCTCAATCTTGCTGTAGTCCATTACTGCAGTTAGTGGTACGAATTCATCTTCCTTGCCTGCTTCACGATAAAGAGGAGGTGGGCACTGGTCCTTTTCTGAAGCTCTCGTTTTCTGGAAGCAGTCTCTGGAAGGAAGTCCGCTGGGTCCAGTATCAGGATACTCCTCGGAGGACTCGCTGTTTAAGAGGAAGTAATTCTCATGCTGCAGAGGCACTGGATGATGAAGGTAGAACTGTGCCGACTTGAAGACAGAATGGGTCGTTCTTACAGCTTTCAAAGGATTTGCAGACTCTGGAAAAGAAGGACAACGTGCTTTATTTCTTTTCACAATGGTGGCTTCTTGCTTCCTCATAAACAGTTTCAGGTCCATAGGGAAAAATTCGGGCTAAAGGCACCCCCTAAAACCACCTTCCCAAATAGGCTACATAAAGGAGTAACCTCAGACATTACTGAACTGCAGTCTGGATGGCATTTCAACATTAACAATAGCACACAGAGGTCTGCGGATGATTTAGTGAAGGAGAATGCCATGCCCAACAGAGATTGCAGAAGGAATTTAGATAGGCCAAACTTAATTACCCAAACTGGAATTTGAGCAGGACGTTGAGGTTAATATTCATTCTTGTAAACAGAATTGTGAGATAATCAGCAAAAATAGCCAGAACCCTTTTTTTTTTTTTTTTTTTTTTTTAACCTTTCTTACCATATCTAACAGTACAATACCCCTTAGTGCCAGGCTGGGGCATCATTTCACTACTAATGTAGAAGGATACCATTTATCGGAGAACCAGTGCCAATTCCTGGATCACAGTGTGCAAGACCTGGAGGTATCGCATATACTGGGGCAGCCAAGTCTGACTGTAGTTAGCATGTAGGATTCAACGAGACTATTCAGTCCACAATAATGGAGCTTCGGGGAATTTATGCCAAAACAAATACGTGCAGAGCGAGTTTCAAATAGGTGCACAAAGTAGTAATTATAATCTTGCTTGTAATAAAAACAGATTTTATATATGCATAATATGGTCTAGTGGGACTCAGTGCAAAGTCATTTTACAAGGTTATCCAATTTGTACTTTTTCTCCGACTACACATATTCCGCCACTGTGTGACATCAGATATTGGACAAAATGGACCTATGGGCTGACGCAGTAAATGCCAGTTCTTATGTTCTCACTAGAAAAATGCCCGGCATAAACGGCAGGTGGGGAGGCGGGGGAAATGCAGCCTGGCCCTGATCGCTTCTGCCTCCACCTGTGTGTCTGTCTGTCAGTAAGGCTCCAGGCCGCGCGTGCGCACTTGTCCCGGACTGTTATGGACAGACAGACGCACAGACGGAAGTGCTATCCAGCCCACAAGGAGCCCTCTGGTCTGGATCCAGCCAGGGACCCCAGGTGAGTTGGACACCCTTGCCTTACATGATTTCCGGAAGCGTATGAAAGATGCATTTCATGGAGTCATAACCTTAAACTAAATACGGGAAAGTTAATACAAGATAAAGGAGCACTTTCACAAGGAGGCACGTGATGAGTAGCTACCAGTAGCCAGTGAGGTTGTTAACACAGGTGAAAGAGGCCCCACAACTGGAAAGGAATTAACTCCAATTAAACTCCCCTTCCCTATCATTTCTCAAATGTTTTCAAGGAGCTATACCTCTCACTCCTTTAAAGAGGGAGGGCATCTCATAGTTAGACCTTAACGCTGGGATCCAGGTCTCCTAGGTTTCAGTCCCGGCTCTGCCACTGGCTCAAGTGTAAGGGTTTTGGGGCAAGTCAATCTCCGAGTTCCTCCCACCTGTACAATGGATGATAACTGTTGGATAGACTCGAGGCCGTGTACTATCTTGCTAAGGCTTCAGCAAAACATTGGCTCAACAAGGCCTCAGCTTCTAGCAGATCTCCCTTCTACTTTATCTCCTTAGTTGAACAAGGTCTTAGCTTCTAACCAGGTTCTCCCTTTCCCTCTTCCTTCCAGGAAGGTAACCCAGGCCCAGATGGGCTGCCAAAAATATAAGCAGGGAGTTTCAAGGCCCTTGCACATCAGACCTGAAAGATAAGTCAAATGAGAAATCTTCTGGGAAGACAGGGAGGTTTAAAGAGAGGTTTAACCATAAAGAAATAACTGGCACACATACCAAGATAGCAAAATAGGATACACCTATATGGGAGTTTGTGTGCTCACTGGTTTATGTAGAAACTAATCATATTTTTAATGATTATAGTTATTCAAGGCATAACAAAGGTATAAGAGATGTAAATGTTCCACCATCATGCTTTGAATGTATAAATCCCCGTGCACTTCCCTTCTGCCAGCCAGTCGAGTCAGATGGCTGACAGCGATTAAAGTCTCTCTAGTTATACTCATATAATTTCTTTAAGTTTAATAAGTACTATGTGCAGAAAACTTGGAACAAAGCCTCACCCGGCAAGACTGGGGCCTAGCCAACCCAGCCCCTCACAACAATAGCACGTATCAAACTCAAGAAAGGCTATACAGCTTAGGTTTTTATTGTAAAAGGCTGAGATCCCTAGATAAAGATGCTAGGGCTGCACAAAGCATTATAACTCCTTAAACACTTCCTCATACATCTTACTTTCAAAATCTCTTATCTTTGTCACTTTTTGCATGCCCTTCTGTTTTTAATACAAAGGGATGCAGCACAATCATAAACAGCATTCCCAAATACGATCTATATATAGTGAAGAAGGAAATCCACTCTCACCTCATGCATGAACATTGTTACATATAACTTTGCATAGCAATTATTCTTTATCCGAAATTCTTACATAGGAAGCTGCCAACAATAGATCCAAAATCCCATATTGCACTGCTCTAATCTGGCACCATTCTTCCACTGGGGAGGGGGGGTTGTTACCTAGTATTTTTTTTTCTTTCCAAGAAGTTAGAAGAAATCATTTCTTCAGTTCATCATTCCTGTCCCTGAAGCCTAACAGAGACAGAGGCTAGGAGGTCAGCTACTATTCCTTTCATGAGAAGGATGGCTTTATGTTGTAAGCCAGTGGTTCTCAACTTTTTTACACTCAAGGCAACCCCTTGATAGATTCAAGGCACCCACCGGAAAATGTCAGCTCCTAATTTTTCCCTTGATTTTTGAATACAGAAAAATAGAGCAATTCTTCTGTTGCAAAAAACTCAGGAAGACCACAGCAGGGCAGAAGGGATTTGACTCCTATTTGACATCTCTGGGTTTCTCTCGTGCATCACATTTGCACATTTAACAGTGCCAGCATTGTGCGACGCTCCATGGCACCCCTGAAAGGATCTCAAGGCAACCCACAATGCTGCAGCACCCTGGTTGAGACTCTCCGTTGTAAGCCAACGGTAAACATTGCACACACGCACCCACATGCACTGAATATAGTAGAAAATGCAGCCGTAGGTCCCAGCTGTGCTTAACAAGTAAGCAAAATGAACATGGCAGGATCTATAACTGTGTTGTACACACCAATATTAGAAGCTAAAACAGAGCATTTAACACAGCTCTACTCTCCAGGAGCAGAAAAGCTTCAAGGAACAAGCAAAACGTTAAGAGGAATCCCCACTGCTGAATCAGTATGTGCTTCAAGGAATTAATTCACCCCCATCATCCTGCACTGTCTGCTCATAAAGGACAACCATAATTGCACTGAAGTAGTCCATAAACATCCATCCTATTAAACAGCCTCATTTAATGAGCTGATGTCATGCTAAAAGGAGAAAATGGGCTCCAAAGGAGTTGTACATGTGCCTCTACCTATAAAAAGAGCAGGGAACTTGCAATTCAGGGCCTATTTTGCAACTTAAGTGTTTCTGGTCTCCCCCTTCATTACTGACCATAATTACATTACCTCTTTGCAATGAGCTCCCTCCCCCCTTGTTTGTGACAATATGTCTTTCAAAATGCCATGCAGAGAAATAAATCTCTCTAGTGGAAATAGTAGCCGAACGCAAGAGAAATGGTAGCCACTCCGCGATTTTGAGCTTACAATAAAAATGCGGCAGTGGTAAAGTTGCCCTTTGACCTCCAAGAATCAATCCTTTGTTTTCAAATCAACCAACCCACAAGAGAAGGCTGACAGGTGATCTGGTGGCCGTCTATAAACTTGCCAAGGGGGACCAGCAGGCAGTGGGAGAGTCCCAGTTCCCCCCAGCGCTACTGGGAGTAACAAGGAATAATGGCCGTAAGTTGACTGAGAGTAGATTCAGGCTAGATATCAGGAGGCGCTACCTCAGTCAGGGTGGCTAGGATCTGGAACCAGCTTCCAAGGGAAGTGGTGCTGGCTCCTACCCTGGGGGTCTTTAAAAGGAGGCTAGACAGACACCTTGCCAGGGTCGTTTGACCCCAGCATCCTTACCTGCCCATGGCAGGGGGTCGGACTTGATGATCTGCTCAGGTCCCTTCCGACCCGACCAACTATGAAACTATGAAACCCAAGCAGATGGGCTGAAGGGATGGGGGATGAGAAGTCCTGACACATGGCCAGCAACTCCAGTGAAATGTCACCACAGAGGTGAACCGATACCGGGCTGTGCCACATCGGGTCTACCTAGATATCAACAAGAGGGCCGTCAAGTCTGCGGAGCATCCGGTCAAGTTTTCATCATCACGAAATTGCTGTCTGCTTCAGCGGTCTCAGGATCCTTTTCCACGCTTGATGGAGAATCATACTTTATACTAGTGATGATGGGTGATCACTCACGAACTAGGACCTTTTATTGAATGACCTCAAAACACTTTATATACTTTAAGTTGAGGGCCCCTGCATACAACCAAGTATTCTTAATCCATTGTACCAAGCAAGGCATGGACAGGTCCAGAGACTTGAGTATAACCCTGTAATATCAGCAAGTACTAAGATGAAAAACCACAGGTCCCAATGCCTAGTCCTGTGTTCCTCCCACACAATATCCCACAAGAAATACAGAAAAGAAGAAGAAACACATGCCATCTAATTACCTGTATCAGATTCTTGTGGTGCCATTTTTTCTTTTCCCCAGGCTAGCTTGGGCTCAGGCCTCTTGCTGTAGATACCCTCTTTGTGTTTAATAGCTATGTCTGGAGGACTCTCTTCCCTTGACCCCAGTACGTTCACTGGAAATTTTGGAGGGACGGCATCATTCGATCCTACAAAGAAAGCAAGCCATGCAATCACAGGAGCTCTGGTAATGAGGAAGAGGTTAAGAGAAGAAGAAGCAGGAAGACATTACACCTTCCAGAACAGGCCAGACTCAAACTTTAATCATGAAGTAAATCAACGAAAGGCAACTAAGCACACAGAGGAGTTTGATTTACCATCGGATAAGGAATGATCAGCAGGGCACCCAGCTGATCGCTCATGATCAGAGTTGTCCCATCAAAGCAGCACATAAGAAAACTGAATTAGCCACTTATTGCTATGCTGCTTTTCTACTAGGTCTTTGATCCCAGCATCACGAGGTATTTCACGATGAGGCATGCAAGTATTACAGCCACTCTACCGATGGGGTAGGAGGCACAGTTAGGTTATTCAGACGAGCCATTTGGGGACCTGAAAACAGAGCCAAGAAGTCCACATTCCCTCCTGCTGAGCCCGTATTAAATTGTGGATACTTTTACTGACTGATAGACACAGAAATTTTCTCCACTGAATAGAAAGTGATGTAGAAAATTGGTAGCACACAAAACAGCAATTAGAGGGATTTTTTCCCCCCAGTTTTACTAAAATGTTTACCTATGTGCAAGCTCCAGACAAAAGGTTCAAGACAGCAATACATTTTTATAGCAGGACTCCCTTAGTGTCATAACAATTGAAAAGCCTAAAAAGGCAACTCACTGGTGTATATTCTTTGCCGGCTCTGCATGGTTACATTCAGCAGTCATTTAATTCTGTTTCCTCCACTCCTGTGCAGTTAATTTTAAAAGCCTGAGGTGCCTCAGGTCAACATGGCATCTGCACTGGTACCAGCAGTTTCTGCAAAATCAGCATACTGTATCTGCCTGCCTCTGCCCCATAATATTTCAGAGGCATTACAGAATCATATAGCAAACCGAACAGGAAACAGGAAAGACCAACAAATTTGGAAGCTCAAGTTCCACTCCTGCTCCAGTAATTATATAGATACAAATAACCACGGATGCAATTTTGCATCTACCGGTAGTACCCAGCACAGTTAATGTGACTAACATCCTTATTTACCCAACTGTGCCCACACAGCAGGGAGATGGACCATTATTGTGACAGTAACCGTGTCCACAAGTGCCTGCATGTCAAAGGGAAGCTCAGCTTGATGCCAACCTAAAAATTAGGTCTATCATGTCTTAAGATGCGTGTGTTGCTAGTGACAATATTTCAAGAGAAGCAGGGCACAGCGTTGATGAATCGCGAGTCATTCGCCTCTTTAACCTCAAAAGTAGGAGTTTGAAAAATTTCAAACCAGAAATAAAACGGTTTACATTTAAGCAAAGCCTATAATGAAGTCACTTAGTGTGCAAATAACCTCAAAAACTCTAGATCGGGGTGCTCAACCTTTTTGGCCAGTGGGCTGCATAGCTGGTGGGCAGCCCACCCACAGGCTGGATCTGGCTGGTGGTGCTGATCCGACACGTGGTGCAGGCATGGCAGGGATCCATCCGCCCATGCGGAGAGAGGCAGGGGGCAGACCCGGGTAGACCCAGCCCCAACCTGGCCCCATAAGCGGGGAAGGAAGCTGGACCCAACCCCAACCCAGTCACGTGGGAGTCAGGGCAGGGACACGAGGAGGCTCAACCCTGCCCCACAGTCATCTTCTTCATCGTGTCTCCATCCAGCCTTCCTATATGGTCTGCTCCCAATATTCTGCACAGGCCGCTGCTTCTGGTGCTGGTGTTGCCAGACCTTGTGGAGTGCATTGTAGTGCTACAGGGCATCTCCAAAGATGATCCATGGTTTGCCTCTCCTGACAAACACACTGGTTGGTTGCATAGAGACACCATGATGTCATGAGAAAGTTGCATCTGCCAAGACACGCTCTCAATCCCCCCGGCAGTGGGGTAAGGGGAGCAAAAGTGGGCAGGGGGGAAGAAGGGGTCAATGTGGCCCAGCTCTGATATGCAAGGAGGCTTGGGGTTTGGGAATTTGGAAGCAGGGGAGGGTGGCCAAATTTCCCTACCCGTGGGGAGCCCTGTGGGCCAGATGTTACAGCTCCGTGGGCTGCATTTGGCCATGGGCTGGAGGTGGAACAGCCCTGTTCTAGATCACGCATTTGGTAACTTCGTTTAATGCTTAGCATCACACAACACTTCAGAATGCATCAGTAATGAGACACATCAAAAGGGAATGTGCCAGAGGAAATATAAAGTGGGGAACTGGATTAGAGGGAAGAGAGAACTGGTGGGGAAAAATGATATAATCCAAAATGCAATTCCCAAGAGAAAAAAGAACTAAAAGAAAAATCTATCAGGAATTGTGAAACTCTTGAGCAGTGCAGTAGGAATAGATCAAAGTAATAACATCTCTTTTTAACTAAAGAATTCAAAGTCGTATCCTTCAAGTCCAAGCTTTTACACTGTTGTGTTATAAAGCCAAAATACAAGCAGCATAAATATACAGGACAACTTTCTATTCTTAGTCACGCACTATGGATCTGCGCAGAATAACTATTGAAATCAGTGTTGTTACTCTAAATGCACATGGTTTAAAACAGAAATGAATCTAATGAACAAGAAGATGTTTTGCAAATGTATTACGCGTATCTGGCCCAACTGGCTACAACCGCTCTAAGCTTGAACCTCAGAAGAGACTTTGGCTCGGCTTTGTAAAAGTTCGGAGAAATGCAAATACCTGAGTGAGAGCTCTCAATAGTGGTCTCTGACCTGACGGGAGATATTCTGGGTGCTTTCTTTGGATGGGGAACGTAGTACATCTCTCGGCTACCAGAAGGCTTATACGGCACCAGTAAAGGCTGATCTGCACGTACTGAAAGCAGCATAGGAAACAGAAATCAAAATGCAATGTTGTAACACAAGCTTCTGCAATACAAAGGCCAACACAAATCCCAGAAAATGGGCTGCATAGCTTGTGATCAGTGAGCAGGTTGACTATTTCCCTGAAGAATATGCTCATTAAAGAATCAGCAGATAAGCACCTACTTGCTGTTTAGAAGGCTGACCTGATTAATAGCTAAATAAGATGGCTTAATTAGCCACAATTTCTCTTAAAGACTAATAAAATCTGTGACTGAGACCACCACTAGGTAAATAAAAAACATTACTTACATGCCAACGTTGCTCACAGTGAAATCACATATCTACGCTATTATAGGCACTTGCCCGATTTAGGTCAATAAATACAATGTGTTGTTATGCTGAAGCTACTGAAGGATTCGGCTTGCTGCAGTTAACAAGTACTGGAAGATTTACTGCTTCCTAAGAGTACAGATAACAAGCCATTATTCATGTAGGACTCCCATTTCAATTGAGCTGAAGGTGTCCGCATAAAGAAAGAATCTTTTTCCTCAGCACCGTATGGTTTCCTGGGGTTACTTTACACGCATCTCAAGAGAGAGCCAGAGCCTAGGCAAAGAAAATTCAATAGACACTATGTCTGCAGACACTGCTAATGTATAACGCCCCTCTTTGGTGTGCGGGGTGTAAATTTGCACCTGACTGCATTGGTGGGGGTAACGTACCGTGGGAGCTCGATGCTGATTATATATTAGTACTAGCACATTTGCTCTCAACAGCTGCGTAAAGCCCGTCCCACCAGCATTTAGGTACCCACGTGCACTTCTTTACCACCCTGCTCCAGTCCCTGAAAAGCAGATAAGGCAAAAGGTGGTAGGTCCTCCTCCTCACTGCTCTCCTGCAATCCTATCTTAAAAGCAAGATGACCGTGTATTACAAAAGTAGACGTATTCATGGCTTTTCTGGATGGGACAGAATCGCACTTGGGCGTTTTAAGTCGTGTAGACCCTAGTGAATGACCAGGTTACTCCCTTCCTGGCCCCAAAAGATCTTTAATATGCATCGTTTTAAATTCCAGGATCAAATATCAAAGTCACTCAGTGGTCCTAGTTCCACACTTATTTTAAAAAAAGATTTTGTTCTCATGCTAAAAAGACAAAAAACCAAACTCCTGACTTGGCAAAGTTGGGTGGGGGAAAAAAGGGCCAGAGATTCGCGGAAGATGCACTGATTTTCTCACCAGCTGGCCTGTGGGACGAGAAAATCTGGTTGCGAGATGAAGTGGCAAGGCTGGGGATTCTGCGTGCCTTCTGGCGAGAGGATACGAGGGCAGGGTTTTCCTCCTCTTCTGTACTAACATAAATCTCTGCTGAAAACGTTGTCTTTTCAGGGCTTTCTGTTGTGATCTGAGTAATGGCATCAGATGTTGTTTTTCCAGTCTGTGCAGAAACCAGGGTCCTGAAGCTATCCTGCACGTTACGTCCACTTGTATCCAGACCTCTGGTGTGTGCCTCCCTCAAGGAGGGGACTCTCTGGATGCTTTCCAGGGGCACCCGCTTTATATCGTGTGCTAGTCCTGCTGTGCCTGGAACAAAGGGATGCACAGGAGATGGAGGTGGTGAAGATCCTGGCCTTGGGAAGTATGAAGACCCTTGATCCACTGGAACAAGTTCAGCGGTTGGTAACTTTGAGACAGGCCCTAACAAAGTTTTTGGAGACCTTACAAGTGTTGGCTGAACATCACTCTTAATTCTGTCGTTAAACCTTGTTTCTGCTTCAGCTCTAAGGTTACCGCGTGGCTCTGAAGTAGCACATTTTGGGGAGAGAGTTATACGGACACAAGACAAAGCCTTTCTAGTTGGAGATGAAGGGGATACCGGCATGGTGGCCAAAATCTGATCTGGGGAGGGACTGTGCATCCCGTTACTATGTCCTGTCTCCATCTCTCTCTGATGGAGAGAGAGTATATCAAATGGAAGCTTATCCTCCTTTTCTAACAAATTATTATGGCCTTTAAGCAAATGAGCTTGTGGGCTATAAACCGGACCTTCTGTAAACTGGGCTTGGCTGGAAGGACTCATCTTTCCTGGCTGATAAAAACTTATGGGAACGGGTTCACTCAATGTATTTGATTCTTGATTAAATTTCTTATCACAATCAGCCACAGAAAGTCTGGCATTAAGCCTGCCCAACCCAACAGCATCTTGAACAGAAGTCTGAGCTGCTTCAAAACTAGTTGCCACAAGGCTGAAACATGGGTCAGGATATATGGATTTAGACTCTTGGGCTTGGTCTTTCCCTTGATGAGCTCCAGGTTTGGCAACACCAGTGGCCACATGCTGAAAACTGTCTTGGTCTGCAGTAGGCTTAACACCACTAGCTAGACTGCAAGTGGCTGTTGGACTTGAAGGACACGACTGAGAAGTTTCTAGCTGTCGCTTTTCAAGTCGCTGCTTTTCAGTGCTAGTAGATCCATCTTGCAAGGGTATTACACCACGAAGAGCATCTTCAGTGAGGCTAGTACCAAGGACAGGAGACGGAGAACGTTTTCTGGATGCAAATGTGATGGAGGTAATCTGTTTAGCAATTTCTGCAGGTGGTTTTTCTACAGATAGCTTCTTCTGAGCTGGAAAAGGCACTTCCTCTTCTGTTTGTGCATTAGAGGCATCCACCAATCCCATCAAACATGCATCCACACCTTTACGCAAGGGGGTAAGCTCAATACTGATATCAAAGGGATTAGTTGCCAGGGTGTGAAGCTGGTTTGGGATTTGTGCTTGGAAGGTATCCAAAGCTTTAAACTGTGTATTACTCGACAGTGAATAATCAGGTGAGTCAGTTGTATATACTGGCATGACCCATCTTCCATACGACTCTGAAGGCTCAAGTTCGACATCCTGCATCTGGTTGTCAATTTGCATCTGTTCGCTATGTGGAGAGTGGAAATGTTCAGGGTAGTGCTTCTGATTATGGCTGTGATTGGGTATAATGTCTGAGCTGTTTCCCCATGAATCCTGAAAAGGCAAAAAAAACAGATTCTTGAAAAAATAAAAAAGGTGCACGCGTCTATAATCAGGACCAGAATTTCAAAATTCAGACAAATACTAACATGAGAAATAAGTTCTGCTGTCATAAAGGAAAACCCACACTTTGGAGTAAAACTGTCCATAGGACTGTAAGCAGGGACTTGCCTCCACATGTGCCAGGTACATAGCTAGTACCTTTTCAATCCCACAACAGACCAAACCACAGCGGTGAAGTTCATAAAAAGATTTTTTCCAGTTTTACAACATTTAGGTTTTCCCTAGATAGCCAAGGGGAAAGTGGTAAGTGCTTCTTGACGATCAGGAACTTGCTCACTTCATTCACTATTATCTGGTCTCCCACATGCCCGCCCCTCCACAGGTTCGTTTCACCTGCAGCTTGGCATCAACCTAGATGGTAAAGTCTTCAAGACAGTCTTTTTAACCTTTTGTTCATAGGACGATCAGAGTGGAAGGGATCATTCGGGCCACTGAGTCCACCGCCCCTGCACAAACATGGGCTATGCTATATCTAAACCATCCTAACTAGATGTCTTTCCAGCCTGCTCTTGAAAACCTCCAATTCAAAAGTACCCACAACTTCCCCGGGGCAAGCTGTCCCACTCTTCTACTGGTCTGGTAGTTAGAAAATTTGCCCTAACCCTGTTTTTCCACAGTTCACATATGTGCACCGCCTTCTGTAGCAAGGAAGCACACTGTTTCTTAAGTCATCTTTGCAGCAACCTTTCAAACATTGGGAAGCTGCCATCTTAATCGCCTTTTCTTCATACTCCAATGTTTGCATAAAGCCTAATACAGTAGGACTTGGATCCCCGTTGGGGCTTGGAGACATCAATATTCAGTTTCTTAATAAGGTCTGGCCATTAGCCATGTCCAGCTTGACTAGCTCCTTCTGCTCTTTAGGTCATGAGCTACCAAGGGGCTCCCCATCACGTGAACAAAACGGTCCCATCCTCAAGCGCTCATGCCTCGAGAGTGCTACTAAATTAAATTTTGAGGTTCTGTGAAAACAACTGGCTGTTTCCACAGAAGCCCATTAGGCCATACAGCTCAGTCTCTGCCTTCAAAAACAGACTTTTCATTTAAACCAGAAAGGATGTTTTTAAGGTTATGAGAACACTGCTGCTGTCAGACCTTCTGCCACGATATAGCTGTCACTAGAAGAAAGATCTGGGCGCATAAAACTCTCCCTGATGTATTAAGTCATTCCACTCCAGCAGACTTTCTGAAGCGCAAGTACGTTTCATAATCAAGTGACAGGAAAAATCGATTATTGACAAAAACGGAGCAAAACGCTATTCTTTAAGCTGACACGCGGGTAACATTTTTAATTAAAGAGCTTTGAAGTTTTGTACTTCCCGCATTCAATAGCTCTTCCCCCTGACGCTAAGAAATAAGTCTATCCAACAGACAACACCACAGACACAAGTGTAAGCCATTGACACACTGACAAGAAAATTAAAATGCAATTGAAAAAAAGATGAAGAATTTTTTTTAAAAAGCAACTGTTAGTTTGCAATAACTTTTCAGTCTCCAGATGGGTCTCACCTTTTTCCCCCTCCCAATTAAAACATGTGCGTCTCCCACTGGATCGTCCTCTTGTTTTAGAAAGCAGTTCAGACTGTTAGACTTTGCAATCCAGGGAAACATTTTTTAGATTTCCAGATCCTGATTAGCTACTTACCAGAAAAGATTTTTTAAAAAGAGTCTAGAAAATGCACTCATTCGGTTCAATAAGTTCATCGCTATGAAAGCCGATATTGTATTGATCTGCATCAACCATCATCGGCATATTTATTCTGCATTTATAATAGGCCTTTATTTCCAAAGCACTCCATAAACTTAACATTAATCAAAAAGTTATGCATGGATCACCTAATTCACTACTGAAAACGGAGGTCTCTCAATGTAATCTGCAAACTGCACAGTCGTACAGGTTAGGTAAAGACACAGTGGTCCTTTCCAACTGGCTTTTCTATAACTGAGACTTATCTCCTCTTTTCCTGGTTTGATTAGTGACTAAAACACAGGTTATATCCAACATTATATTTACTTATATCTAGCCATGTCCACCCATCTATCCATCCACAGAGATTTGATTAGGAACTGAAAAAAAACTATAATGAACATGGTACAGCTCATCAATGGTACAAGAAAAAATGCTGTCCTACTTTCTCTTCCAGGTGACACGGTGCTCTTTCAAATGTCTATGAGCACAATACATGCTGGCACTACTGTCAGTGGTATAAATCCCACCGATTTGGGTGGCAGAAAGGTATGCCCTCTACATCAGGGGTGGGCAAAATGCAGCCCGGGGGCTAGATGCAGCCCGCCAGGCCATTCTATCCACCCTAAAAAAATTAGAAAATTAATATTAATCTGCCTGGGCTGCCTGTCATACGGCCCTTGATGGCTTGCTGCAACTCAGTAAGCGGCCCTCTGGCCAAAATAATTGCCCGCCCCTGCTCTACATGTAAATTCCTCAGGGGCAGAGAATGCATCTCCTCCAGGTTTTGCTCTCCAATTTCTGAAGCTTGGTTTCTCTGCAAAAGCTTGCGTGTAGAGTTGCAGAGTACAAGCAATGCGTACAACAGATCTAAAGGCTTCATTTGCTGGCTCTGGTTACTCTAGTTTACTGCACGGCAGAAATAATGTATATGCAAGTACACAGATAAGGGCTGAATAGAAAAGGCTTTCCTTCAAAACTCTCTGGATTAAAAATGGACATTTTAAACATGCTACAGCCACTACAGAACAGGGTTTAAGTGTATGCCTGTTTACAAGGAACAGCAACCAGACCAAGAGGCCTTTCTGCTGGTTCTTCCCCTTCAGGGATGCTTATGTGCACTGATAGAAAAGAAAAACCCTAGCTTCCTAAGAATGCCTTCATTAAGGAAGGAGCACCAAAACCTCTACAGTAGCTTACCTGAGAGATGCAAGAGATGGCATGCTTAAAAGAAAATGGAGACAGAGTATACCTGTAGGGAGCAAAATTTATAATGCAAGCAAAGTCATTAAACATCACACTCCCAGATGCATGCAGAAAACTCAACTAGAAGTCTACCATTCCTTCAGTCAATGGGGTCTGCCGATTAAGAGACAGCACGAGTTTAATCCCATCACAGCACCAATCGCATTCCACACGGCATGCTAGAAAGCAGATCTTTCTTACATCACTGCATCCCATCATCTTTTGATACAAATTAGTATCAGAGGCAGTACCACTGTTATCACATGCTAGAAACAGATAAGACAAGTCATTTTGATCAACAGTGTTTTACATCAAAATCATTAGGGCTCATATGAGGCTCCAAAAAATCTTACACCTCTCTAACTTCTTTAGGGGCAGAATTTCACTGGCAAAGACAAAACTATATCACTTTAAAATGCTTGCATCTGCAGCCCCTTAATTTGAAGGCATTCAAAATTAGTGTTCTTTCAAATGATGCTGGTAAAAGCCAACGTAAAACAAATCTATTGAATTGGACAAAGCTCAAATGACCTGTTTCAGCCTTAAAAAAAAAAAAAAAAAAAAAAAAAAAAAATCAATGCAACTCATTCCTTTATCATTTGACTGAGACAACTGGGAAAACATAACACTCTCATTAGTACACGGCCATATGGAGGTATGAATAAGTGCTCTTCCAACAGCCAACATGAAGGAATGAACAAATAAAGCCAGTCAGGAGAACTACAAATTGTCTGATCTAAACCGTAAATTCAAGCAGACATTCACACAATTTTCCCCCACATCCAAAATGTCAACAGAAATAAAACATTTTGGGCAAGAAAACCCTCAAATTCTAATAATGCCTACTTTAAAGTTTCACACTAGAAGCATGAACCAGTGTAACTAAAGGCTATTTAGAAGTCAGTCTAACTATTCCAAGCCCCTAATACATGTGCACTTAAACCAGTTTAATGTTTCCCTTTCTCAAGTATCCTTACTAAAAAAAGCTGCAAGGCACGAAGGAAAAGGAGCAGGTTTTGAACTGTGCATACGGGTGACAGCTCAAAAATGGCCTGTTTCTCTGTGGGCAACTTCCCTTTCCGCTTTGAGTGATCACCCATGAGCACATTTAACTAATTGTTTCTGCTACGTCGATGCTTAGAACCGATACACGTGGGACCTCAGGGTCTTCGGAAAGATAAGGATGGGAATGCAGCCTTCCTAAATGCAGCACCTTTCCCGAAAGCTTCAACGACAGGATAATGCATTATAAGCACGTGGCTAGATCTCCAGGTACATTTTTCACTGCTACAGCTGAAGACATTAGTGCTGTGGTGAAATGAGCTTTAACAGTAGCCACAGGGTCTACCTTGACAGCTTCATAATTTCCGTGTACCCCCAGATCTGCGTGGGGGAGGGCGGGCTGCAGCTGCAGGCTGGGGCCGGGGTCCGCGCCCTGCTTGGGATGGGTGGCAGCAGGGCTGGGTGGGCTACGGCAAATTTTGGGGTGCAATGGGAAGCAACCAGGGCTGTGATGGGAAAGCAAGCAGCGGTGGTGGTGAGGGAGTGGTGGCAGAGAACAGAAGCTGCAGGAAGGGAAGAGTTGGGGGAAGTGTGGGGGGAGCAGGGAAGCAGGGACTAGTAACTGCAGCTCCGACTCTGACCCCAGGCTCAGGGTCGGAGATTTGGAGCCACTGGTCCCAACCCCACTTGTGTTCAAATCTGAGACGAGGGGGTGGCCCCCATGTTGAATCGGGTGGGGGAACCTTACCCTATCTAGGAATATAGGACATAGGAATCCTGCACACGGAAGACCTGACATTTCACAAAACAGGCCCATCTGGAAACAAGACAAATCTGCCAATAGGCACTGGCAGCCTGAACCCTTCCTTTTCAGCTCATCAGAGGAGAAGTGCCCATTTGGCTTGCCTGCTCTGGCGTTCTGCAGCCCAGACAGGCACGCTGCTGAGAGTGCAATATGCTGCCTAATGCACCCGACCTATAACCTGAGCATTTCCCAGGGGGAAAAAAAATGCCCTGGTGCATTCAGTGATAGGATAATGACCGATGAGACAACCGCTGGGTTTATTTGGGCGTGCAGACCTCAGCTGTAACAGAGAAAGGACAGACAAGAGATAAGGCACAAACTGATCTGCTCCGAAATCAACTTATTCAATACACAGGAAAGCAGTGGAAATGACTAAACACTGAGCTGCCAAATGCACAAAACAAAAAAGCTGGGAAAAAAATGTATTTTTCCGGTCTTTGGTTACAGTACTTGTAAATCATACTGGGAAAACAATGAACTTTAGCATAAACTGGGGTTGTTGTTGTTGTTTTTTTAAATGGACAGTGGTCTTTTTATTCTAATGTTTTAAATCTCAGGTCAGAAAAGCACTTAAATATGTCCCAAGGATGAAATGTAATAGCTTTGCTGATTAGGAGCCTTAAAACTGAGGGGAGGGAAGATCTTAGACTCCCTCTGGTTCTCAATAAGTCTCCCCCCCTCCACTTTTGCATTTTCTTTTCGTCTAGCTCCCATAGATTTTCCACTGGACTGGCTGCAGTATCTCGGAAGCTAAATGTTTCATGAGTTTCATTCCTAAAAACCTAAGAGGCATAACCCATACTGCTCAAACAGAGCTGCAGAGTCATAAAATTGCAGCAGACGGCACAGACAACGATGAAAGGTCTGGGGAAGACTTCACCGTATGAATTCGAAAGAGCAATTTGTCTTGGTTGTTTTTTCCAAGCGTAGAAAGAGAAAAATATTATGCTCTTCCTGTCTCTGTCTCCTTCAAGTCAGCGCATCTCCAATCTCATTCTGAAACTCTGGCGGTAGTAGAGCTAGCTGGAAACTGTTCAATGACGAACCAGAATTTTCCAATGAAAAACAGTTTCAAAATCGCAAACGCTTACAGAAAAGATCTGCTTTGATGAATTACCCACTTTGGTTTTGAGAATGACAAAATGAAGAGTGATGTTTCACTTCAAAACCATTTTCTCTTTTGAAATTTAAGCTAATTTCTAACATATAAACCTTTTAAGAGATCAAAATGGGGGGGAAGGCTTTTGATTGTTTTGAGCCTACATTTTTGTATTCCTAATTTGCAACAATTTGACATCGGCTTTTTGTCCGGAGTTAACACAGGACAAAATGTTCCCATTCTCACAAGAAAGAAAAAGCATTTCCTTTCCTGTCCCAGCCACAATTCTCAAGATCAGTGCAATCAAAGAAAATTAAAAAGCCAGGGGAAAGCTGTACTATAGCAGCTAAAGAGTACTGGAAAATAGCTTTAGAGTCACAGAATCATAGGGAAGTAGCTGGAAGGTGTCTCACGTGGTCATCCCTGCCCAAGGTAGGATTCTCCCTGCCGAAACCATCCCAGCCACGTGTCCAATCTGCTCTTGAAAATGTCCAGGCACAGAGATGCCCTTCTCTCTCTAGGCAGCTTGTTCCAATGCTCGACCACCCTCGGTCGGAAAGTTCCTCCTAATCTCCAACCTAAGTTTCCCCGGCTGCAGCCGGAGGCCGTTGCTCCTAGCCCTGACCCCCCCCCAGTCGCAGAAAAAAGCCCATCTCCATCCTCTCTGTAATCCTCCTTCAGGTAGTTGAAGACTGTTCTCAAATCTCCTCTCGGTCTTCTCTTCTTCAAACTAAATAACCCTAATTCTTCCTGCCCTTCCTCATATGGCAAGCTTCTCATTTTTTTTGATGTTGCTCTACTGATCTCTCTCTGCAATCTGCCCACCTCTTTCTTGAAGCACGGGACCCACAATGGGACACAAGACTTCAGGTGAGACCTCACCAGTGCTGAATAGAGCAGAAGAATCGCTTCCCTTGGTTGGCAAGTGATGTTCCTGTTGTTATAACCAGGGATCTTGATTTTCCCCAAATAAAAAAGTGACAAATTCGCTGATAAAAACCCCAAAATCCATGATTTAAATGAAAGGCCCTTCACTCCCCTCCCCCACCACAGCCCCCTGGCCCTGCTCATGCCCCTCCCCCCCCCCCCAGCCCTACTGGTGCCCCTCGGCCCCCACTCACAGCCCCCTGCCCCTCCCAGATGGGAGCACCACCTGCCAGGGCTATGGGGCCAGGGACCCAGGTCCACTGCCCCTGGCAGGAGGCAGGGGCTGATGCAGCGGTGCAGAGCTTGGCTTTCCCCGCTGCTGCCTGCCAGCTGCAGGTTTGGGAGGGTGGGGCCGGCTCCCCGCCACTATGCGTGCTCCCGGGGCAGCAAGGAGGACCCAATCCTTGTTTAATCAACCCAACCTTATTCATCTGGATGATTGCAAACTATGTTCCCAGTCTATTCAGGTCATTCTGGATCCCAGCCTGCAAATCCCCCCAATTCGGGGGCATCTGCAGATTTGCTAAACATGCACTCAGTCCCACCATCTAAAACATGAATGAAGATATTAAACAATACCAGGCTGGGGACAGACCTTGATACCTCCTCCCAACTAGCTATTAAGCAATTGATGACTACTTGTTGAACACAATGAGCCAACCAGTTATGTGTCCACTTCACAGCACTTTCATCTCGTCTGCATTTCCTTAGCTTGTTCATGAGAACATAAAATCATTGAAAGTTAGGGCTGGAAGGGACCTCAGGAGGTCACATCTAGTTCAACCCACTTCTGCAAGCAGGACCAGCCCCAACTGCATCATCCCAGGCAAGGATGATGTAGGAGAGAGTGTCAAAGCCTTACTAAAGCCAAGGTATAATCACATCCACCGCTTTCCCACCATTCACAAGAGCTGATAGAAGGAGATCAGGTCGGTCAGGCAGGACTTGCTCTGAATCTGTGCTAGCTATTCCCAACCACCGTGTTCTCCTCTAGGTGCTTCTCAATAGTCCTTGAAGACATGCTCAATGACTTTTCAAAGTCAAAGTCAGTCAAAGACAGACTGACTGGTCTGTAGTTCCCCAGATCCTGCTTCTTCAAAGATAGACGCTGTGTTTTTCCTTTTCCAATCACCCGGGAACTCAACCGACCTCCACAAGTTCCCAGAGGATACTGACTGGCTCTGAAATTACCCGAGTCAAGTCTTGCAGTACCCGAGGGTAGATCCCATCCAACCCTGCTGACTTGAAAGCATCTGCTTCTCTAAGGAAACCCTAACCTGCTCTACCCTAACTCTAGGTTGTCTGACTCCTTCCCTAACTTTGCTGCCAACTCTGCTCACTATGAGGCAGCTAGCCCCAGTTTGTGAAGACTGAAGGAAAAAAAGGCATTAAATACTTTAGCCTTCTCTGTATCATCCATAACTCATGTCTCTCGTGTTGGATTCACATCAGGTATAGTAGTAAACCAATCTCTGGATCTACCATCCATTTGCTCCCATTTTTGTTTTCGTTCAAAACAGGACGCACACTTGCATTTGTCTTTCCAAGGAGAATCTAGAAGATTGGTTGGAAAACCTGAAGAAACAATATTTTTGCATCCACAGAACAACTTCAAAGAGTTGCAAAGCAAAAGCAAGCCTTTCTAAGTTATAGCCCTCTACACAGTCCTCACAGTAGCTAGTTAAATCATAAAATGCACATACACAGAGGTGATATTTTCAACGATATTATGTGGCGAAGGACACAATCAATTATATTGATATCATCTGGAGTGAGTTTTTTTTCTTTCACTGCTATCTTCTCTCCTGGGGATCTCAGGGCCAGATATACTACACTGTAAGGAAAATAAAGTTGTTTTAACTACATTGTGGTTACAGGGCACGAGATTCCTGGTGATGACAGCCACTGAAGGACAGATGATGACTGGAGGCTGAAATTCAAGTTTATTGTGACTACCTCAAAGGCTGTCCTCAACCCTCCCCCTTCCTACTTCTCTTTTTTTTGCCTCTTACTGCATCATCTCTAGGCTCCTCCAGTCTGCTACCTGCCTCTTCCACCCATTAGTAATTTCTCAAAATAAGATCTCCACGTTTTCTTCCAGTCCACTCGTTTTGCTTCCAAATCTCTCTCAGTCTCAGATGCACAGACCTATGAGTAGCTGCCCAAATCCCACAGAGTATGGCTAACACTAGCTCAGACAAATGCTGAAAACAGAAATTCAAGGACAGATTGGAGGTGATATAGTCTCTGTCTGGCTTACTCATAAATTCTAGTCAGGATGCAATATACTGGAATATATGAATCAGAACAGCCTTAAAATTATATACAAACAGTTACCATTCAGTAAATGGCAAGTGATCAAATTTCTCACAGTATTTCCTATAAATTTCAGACTAAATGGAGAGGTGAAATTTTCATTAAATGTCACCGTGGTAAATCATCGTTGCGAACAAGACACCACCATACAACATACTACAATGACAAGAATCAGTGGTTACAAACACACAAAACACCATCTGCCCCCTTCCACAACGTCCCTTAAATCAGTTCCTATAGCTCCTCCTTACCTTGGCTAATGCAGATTTCCTGGCACTCAAAAGCAGCTCTGCCTTGATTTCTTCTATGCGCTTCCTGTCCTCCTCATTCAGATCTGGCAAGGAGCCGTGGGGTTGGCTAGCCAGTTTCAGCTTCACCCAGGCTGTGAATAAAGGACATAAAACAATAGAAAGCCCCGTTCTCCTGTTTTGAGTTTGCGATCGGAGGTGTGTCTCACACTTCTGTTCATCAGAGATGGACGGGAACAGACTCAGGTGCAAGACATACAAGAGGACAGCTGCCAGGAATAGGACACCATTTAAACCGGCTGCTCGTTTTTATTGTTTTTAGAACAGGATGCCGTTAAGTCAGGGGTGGGCAAAACACGGCCTGCCAGGCCATTCTATCCGGCCTGTGGGACCCCTAAAAAAATTTAGAAAATTAATATTTATCTGCCCTGGGCTGCCTGTCATGCGGCCCTCGATAGCTTGCCAAGTGGCCCTCTGCCCAAAATATTTGCCTGCCCCTGCGTTAAGTAACCGTCCACCTGAATGATGCACCCGTTACCTAATTCTGACCTCATAATCATCTCTGTAGTTCCTCAATCATGAATCAAGTACCATTCCACCGCCACTCTCTTGAAGGTCACCTTTAAACACTTGTACCAAGAGAAAATAGGGCTTATAGAAGTACAGGACTTCAAGAGACCTTCAGGGTCAAGCCCAGTTCCATGATACCACAGGCAAACACCCTGCCAAGCAGTATTTCATAAGGAAGGCAGGGCAGGGTAGAACCTTACACGCCGATTCAGAGAGGCACGAACCTTCATGGGCAACAGCCTACTCCATCCAAGCACCGGATAAAGTAGGCTGCTGGCCTCCCCGGACTGGCAGCGTGCCACCCTGCGCAACCTTTTGTCCGTCTTCAGACTAACACGGCTGACCTCAATACTTTATAAACTGATCAAATTCATCTTAAACCCAGTTATACCGTTTGCCCCCACACCTCCTACTGGAAGGCTGTTCCAGGACCTCGGCGCTCTAATGGTTAGCGATCTTGTCGTTTCCAGCTCTTCTCCACGCCTCTTCCAGTTTGAACTCTTTTTTTAAATGGATTACTAGACTTGACCACGGGATCACGTTGTCTATGGTATTACAGTAATACTTCCCCGTCCTTACTGGAAATACCTCATTTGATACATTTTACAGTGATGGGTGGCTCATGATTAACCCATGAATTTAGGTCTTTCTCCTCCTCTGCCGTTTCCCAGCAATGAGCTGCCACGTTACAAAAGAAAATTATTAGTCCCCTAGTCCAAAACCTGGTAGTTTGTTCTACCAGCTTTCAACCTCTTGCTTTTACTCCTGTTTTCGAGGTTATTAAGTTTGCCCCTCACAGCTCCTACCGTTATTTATCCTGGAAAAAAATTCTAACAAAATTTCCAAGAACGATGTTCTCACTTATAAAAGAGGACACTTGCCAGCAGGAGTGGACACAGAGCAACAAAATCATATTTGTCACTTCCAGCTGGTAAGAAGATTTTCCATTATGATCTGGGAATGTATCAGATCATCAGAGCATGACACAGAGTTTTCTCCTCTTAAATGTCACCCCATTTTTATTATTCCAATCCAGAAGCTCATTCAGTTCTTCCTGACCTCTTCTGTTCCAGCTAAAAAACTACCTTGGTATATTCTTCGACAGGATGACTGAGGTTTTTTAAACAAAGGAAATGCAACAAATCAAATCTAACAAGACTCTCTGATTCAGGGATACATGTGAAATTAGTCATTGAGATGGAAAAGCTGGAGGATAAAGAAAACTGGGAGACTGGTAGAATATAAAAGCACCTAGGAGGGAAATATCAACCACGAGTGATCACTAGGCAAGATCTTCAAGGATCAATTTCGATTAATATTTTAATTAATAAGTTTGGCACAAAAATACAGGTGTGTTTTAATGAAATCTGCTGATGGCACTAAGTTGAGAGCAGCATGATTTTGGGGGGGCTGTAGTTGTGATGGTCCAGGACACATGCAGGAAGCAAGGGGTTTTTTGGTAATGTCTTTTATTTGACCAGCTGTATGATTGGAAGAGATGTTAGACAAGGTTTCAGGCACAGAGTGCCCCTCCTCCGGTCACCCTATGTCCAAAAGTTTGTCAAACATGTATGCGAATTATACAGCTGGTCCAATAAAAGACATTACCAAAAAACCCCGTGCTTCTCACATGTTTCCTGGACCATCACAGCTACAGCACTCCACGCCTACTATAAAGCTGAGAGGCACTTTCAATGCAGAGGAAAATAGAAGTTTTACACTGAACCAATTAGACAACGGAGACAACTGGAGGAATAGAAATGAGATGCAATTCAACAGCACAAAGTGCAAGATCGTGTATTTGGGGACTAAAAGCAAGAATTTCTGCTGTAACATGAGAGCTCGTTAGCTGGAAAAAATGATGAGACCCAGAGGTATTAGTCAACCACAGAATGAGTGGGAAACAGCAAGGTTTCAGGGGTGTTGGTTGCAGCTGTTTTGGTCTCAGGACATAGGCAGACAAGGTTATTTGGGTAAATGTGATATCTGTTATTAGACCAACTGAATAATTCCTCAGACAAGCCCGAGGAAGGGCACCTGTGCCCGAGAGCTTGCAAAGAACAATTTTTCCAACTACTGAGTTGGTCTAATAAAAGATATCACATTTACCCAAATAACCTTGCTTGCCAAAACATCAAGCTATCTTTTTTACAGCTGCATCAGATACAATCTTAAGATGCATCAGAGATATTTCCAGTACAAAAGGAGAAATATTAATGGCACTGCACAAGACACTGGTGAGACCTCATCTGGAATAGACAAAGTACAACTCTGATCACCCATTTCTAAAAAAAAAAAGATAAATTAAAAAACTGGAACAGGTGCAGGGAAGGGTCATACCAATGACCAGAGGAATGGAGAGCCTATCCTATGAAAAGAGACTAAAGGAACTTGGCTTGTTTAAACTAGCAAAATGAAGTCTGAAAGGGTATGTGACTGCCTTTATAAATATATTGGAGGTGGCAAGTAAACACCAGAGAAGGAAAAGAGCTATTTAAGCAAAAGGACAATATTGGCACAAGAACAACAAGAATACAAACTGGCTGTGAATAAATTTAGACAGGAAATGAAAAAGATTCCTAATCATAAGCATGGGACTTCCACAGAAATAGTGGGGGAAACCACCTAACCACCTTTAAGTCGGAGGTGGAGCAGTTCACCACCACAATCTGATGACGTATTCATCTGCAAAAGCAAAAGACCGGACTGGACAATAAAGATGGACAGCTTTGTTGCCTCTATTAAATTCAAAGATACAGGGTTAAGCTTGCACTATTTCAGCTCATCTGAAATGGTTTCTTTCTTACTTCGCGCTTTTTTCTCGTCTTCCTCTACGCTCTTCAGGATTTGCGTTGCGTGTATTGCCGGGGATTTGTATTTCAGAAGGCTTCTGACACGGGCAGCTAGTGAATCTAAGCTGCTACTGTCATCACTCCCTTGAATGACATCCCCCTCCTTGCTGCCAGCTAAACTAGCTTGAGATGAGCCGTGCTGGCAGTCCCCGAGGACAGTGGCACCGGTCCGGAGCGGCGCTGCAGTAGGAGGATCTTCCAGTTCAAAAACCTTTCTGATGCTTGATTCACTACTTGTAGCGCTCTTCATAACAGCCAGAGGAGCAAGCAGGTTTTTATCTGTGGTTGCACTACTGCAGCCCTCTGGCTCAGACCTTCCAACAGGTTTTGCCACCCTGAAATCTTCACCAGCTATTTTCTCTGCTGGTCTAGTCTGCCGTTCTGCAGTTTCTTGACTGACAGGTAAATTGCCAGCAAGTGCTCCTTCCGATTTTAAACTGTCCTTGCAGGAATGGAGAGTCTTCATTAGCGAGTTATCTTCTTGCATGCTCTTTCGGGTCAACGTTTCATCCCGGGACAACAGCCTTTCAAGCGCTGGGCTGTCGTCCCTCACTAATTGGGAATCTTCAACACCATCCTTCTTTTTAATTGACGCCGGTGAAGGGTCAGTGACTTCTCTGGAGGGGGTAAGAGAAGGGACAGGATCAAACTGACTCAGAGTCATTTTCTCTGCCTCTGCTAAAAGCTTCTGGATCTCTTTCAACGTGCTGGATCCAATGAAAGGATTGTTTCCTTGGTCCTTGTTTAGCTCATTTTCAGAGGCAACTGCATTTGAAGAGAGTAGTTCTCCTTTTACTTCCATTTCACCGATATCCTCAGCCAACGAACTGGTAGACAACTTCTCTAGGCTGCTACTAATATCCCTTGAGTCGCATCTATCGATCAGCTCTTGAACGTGCTTTGAAACAAGCATAGGATCTTCTTCATCCGAGTGGAAATCGGAGGCAACGGCTTGTAATTGCTGCCTTGGCTCAACTAATCTGGGGGCAACTGAAGACTTCAAGCTGCCTTCATCTGGAAGAGGAGTAAGCAGTTGTAGTTGGGGGTAGGCAGCAGTACTGCACTGACTCAATGGTTTGTCTTTCGAAGATCTTGAATACTGAGGTGAGAGTTCGATAGGTACTGGAGTATCAGGTCCACCATCCGAGCCCATTGCTATTGACATACTGAGAGTCGAACTGCCCGAGTTAAAGCTGGTCTGTGTGATGTCGACAGCAGACAGAGAGCCTCCTACAAGGAAACAGAAGATTTAAGTTTGGCAGATGTTCTGCTTTGAAGTTAAGAGAAATGTTCAACCTCGACCTCTTGGGAAGAAGCATCTGTGATTATTCCAAGATACATTTAAGAAACTGCTTTCAACCCGTGATGCTTCACTTAAAACTGCTTATCACATCAAATCCCTTGAAACATTAGGGCACTTTGGTTTCAGCCCACTAGACGTTGATGTTCAAAGCATAGATTTGTATGTGCCAAAATGAATACTCAGATCCAGAGTACGCAGCAGCAGAGCGAGTACCTCAGTGAACATTCATCAGATTTGACACACTAAAGATAAATAGAAAGTTATTCATAAAATACATAATCAGTATTATGTATAATCAGTATTGTGAATACATTTCCATTTTTTTCTTTTAGTTTGTTAAATTATTATGCATATTAGTATTCTTGCAGCCTTTCCAGAGAACAGATTGCTTGCATAATGGCAACATATCCTTGAAACTCTTGTTGGGAGCAGCTCTAGCTCCAAAAAAAACAAAACAAAAAGGTCTAGAGGAAGAAAGCTGATATATGGCCTGTAACCAGCCTGAAGTGAGCAGAGGTAACCAAGTGCCCGAAGGGTTCGTGCACCAAAATCCCCTCTTCCCCCATACCTTCAGATAGCTGGACGTGCTTTGTTAGCGTGTCAGTGGACCCCTTCAATGTTCTGAGCTCGGACGGGGAAAATTCAACCTCTCTGATTGGACCTCTGGGTGCAAACGGAGTCAGTATACTTGAAGGTGATTGGTCAATGCCAAGATTACGGAGATAGGTCTGGCAAAAGGGAGGAACAAAGGAAAAAGGAAAGCAGTGAATGGGTCTCCTGCCGTTGTGAGGCACGCATGTTTAGCAAGCTCAGAATTGACCACTTTCCCCAACCACCATGGCAAATGCATGCAGTTTTTAATTTCTAAACTTCCTCCTGGGTCCAAAACATTTAATTAAATTTGTTGCCCGAGCATGCACTGCCACGCAACCCAGAAAGCTATGTTTGTTTGCCCAGTGTATCGAATCTTCCTTCCACCCTGCTTCATTCTTCGGGATTTCATTTTACAACTCTCCCCTTGCTCGCACCAATTTCAAACGTCTTTAATTAAAAACGGAAAAGAAAACAAAACTGGTTTAATAGCACTTTCCACCGAAATGACACTACGGCACAGGGAAACAAAATACTTCTCGTATCTTAGAAACTCAGGCTGGGCATCGGGAAAACGTCCTTAAAAACCAGTCAGATTATGGAGCAGTCTCCCAGAAGAGGTGTAAATCCCACTGTTTCAACTATTTAAAGAGTGTATTGGACAAATTTTTGAAGGCACTAAGGATACAATCCTTTGCTGGCCAAGAAAGGGGCTAATTGACCCAACGGTCCTTCTATCAATGCTGTACAAACACCAAATTAGTACAGAATGGGACTGCTTGCTTCCTTACTAGCACTTCATGCCAGGAGCAGATTTTTTCAAAGACAGCTTTGGTTACTAAATCAATACTGTTAATTGCACCCAGAATTTATTTAAGTCTATAAACCCTAGGTTTTTAGCATGATACAATCTTTAATGTGTATGGAACACAGGACTTGACGGGGCCTCCAGTTAGATAAGACTGAATTATTTTTTTTTAATTAAAGGAGTACCACCCCTAACAGGATGTGCCCATATTGCTTGCTCCTATATGGAAAAGGACCTATATGGCTTCAGAAAAGGACGCAGAACCACTGACATGGTGTTTGCAGCCCGGCAGCTTCAAGAAAAGTGCCAGGAACAGAACATCGACCTTCTCCTTGTGTTCATCGATCTAACCAAAGCCTTTGACACTGTAAACCATGAAGACCTCTGGGAAATCATGAAAAAGTACGGACGTCCCGAAAAATTCATCAATACGGTTTGACAGTTCCACAATGGCATGCGTCTTTGCGAGTGGCGAATGCTCTGACCCCTTTCCGGCCACAAATGGTGTCAAGCAGGGCTGTGTGCTCGCACCTACCCTCTCCAGCATGGGACTGTCTGCTATGCTGCCGGACGCCTTCCAAGATGATGACCTTGGTATGGGGATCAGGTACCGTTTTGACGGAGACATCTTCAACCTGTGCAGGCTCCGAGTGGGCTCCAAAGTCCAGACAGCCACGCTTCGTGACTTCCTCTTCACTGATGACTGTGCGTTGTGCACAAGCTCACGTGGACCTATTCTCATTAGCCTGTGACAACTTCTTACTCACTATTAACTCAAAGAAGCCTGAAGTGATGTTTCCACCTGCACCTGGCACAACACCCCAGGAACCACACATCTCAGTTAAAGGCCAACACCTGTTGATGGTCAACAAGTTTGCCTATCTAGGCAGCACACTCTCCCATGATGCTCACGTTGATGATGAAGTCAATGCGAGATTAGCGAAAGCTAGCGCGGCCTTCGGCAGACTCCGTAAGTCAGTCTGGGACCGCAGAGGCATCCGAACGTTGACAAAACTGAAGGTTTACAAAGTCATCATCCTTCCGACCCTCCTTTATGCCTGAGAAACCTGGACCATTTACCAGCATCATGCCAAGAAATTAAACTACTTCCACCTGTGCTTTCTGTGCAAGGTACTAAAGATCAAGTGGCAGGACAAGATTCGGGACACCAAGGTGCTCGGAAGATCAACTCTCCCCAGTATGCACACCCTGCTGAAACTGGCACAGCTAAGACGGGCCGGCCACCTCTCAAGAACGCCTGACACTCGCCTGCCAAAGAAAATCTTCTATGATGAACTTGCAAATGGAGTACACTTTTGCAGAGCATCAAAGAAGCGGTACAAGGACACTTTAAAGGTGTCTCTAAAGAGTTTCGGCATCGACCCAGAGTTGCGGAAGCAAATCGTGAATCCTGGAGGTCCCAAATCCAGAACGGAGAACTGGCCTTTGAACAGCAACGCACAGCAGAAGCAATGAAGAAACATGTGACCAGGAAAACGAAAACCTCCCGTATCCAGTCCTCATCGCTCTCCTGCCCCTGCTGCAGCAGATTGTTCAAAGCAAAGATCAGACTTATAAGTCCCTACGTACTCATGTGAACTAGCCTCCGCCCCCCTTCATTCTCTCCCCTCTCCCTTTTTTCTCCTTTTCCTTCTTTCTCCTTTTCTCTTTTCTCCTTCCCTTTTTCTTTTCTCTCGTCTTACCTCCCCTCCCCCCGTTGGCTGCGGTCTTTGCCCGCGAAGGACGAACAACAACACACAAATATGGAAAAGGTAGAAAGCTAAACTGCTATATTGAGTTTTATAATTGCATCTACACTAAGGGCATATCTGGGGGGGTGGAGGGTGCACTGGTGCATTTGCACACCCCTTTGATTCCTGCTCCACTCATATTTTGCAACCAATTGCCTGGCAGTGGCTGCAGCATTTCTAGCCAGGCGGCGCTGAAGGAGCTGAATTGACTACCTGGCTCATTACAATTTACCCGATCCCTTCCAAATGCTTCATTCACAGGTGTTAATGACCCTCTCTCTTTTTGAATGGTTTTGATGTTCCACCAATCAACCTACCCTTTATTCTGCAACTCTGCTCTAAGCTGTTCCTGGTCATGAAGCTCCTTTTCCATAACCTTACAGATTGTTGTTACTCATTCCAATGACGTTGTATTGGTCTTTGCTTCTGTCTTAAACCGAATAATATAGCCCTGGGGCCCTAGCATATTAGTAAAGCTTGTAGTTTATTTTTAACTGGAGAAAAATGTGTTGTTTTACATGTGATGATGGACTTCACCATCTACACCGCCCCTTTTCAAAATTACAGATCCGCCCATGGGCATATCTACCCTGACGGCAAACTCGCCATGCCAAACAGCGGCTCCCTCACACACACCATGCTACTCTGTCTGCATTACCTCTCACACCAGAAGCAGCATATTTGCATCCACGTGGCACTGCAGACAGGCTATTTAGCCTACCAAAATGCAGTTTGTGAAAATGCAAGTGTGTGGCAGTGAGGATCAGAGGCCATGGGAGACAAGAGGTATGAGATAGCCAATAACCTCCCACCCCACCTACCTATCGGCTTTTCTTGGTCATTGTAGATGATAATTACGGCAATGTGCCTGGAGCAGCCTGGCAAGCATAGTCCAGTCCCCGTGCCCACAGCTGGTCTGAGGCTGTGGCAGCCTACAACTACCAGCAAACAGTGGGAAAGAGGGGGCACTGCAATGGCAATGCCATGTGCGCAGACAGGGCCTGAACGCTGGGCTGTGCATGGGCAGGGTAAGGCATCATGCGAGGGGCATTTCGCTCCGCTGGGCACCAGGCACCTTTTAAAAAGTAGCTTTTCCCCAGCAGCGAAGGGAGCTCAGGTGTGCAGGGCCCACTGGCACATAGGCAGCGGCGTGCTCTGGGGCTCCAAACAGACCCGGCGCCACTGTCCATTCAAGGGTCTGCCGCACCCTGGACAGCAGCACGGGCTGCACGGGGAGCAGGCCTGTGGGTAGGAACCATGGGTGAGGAGGCGATGTGCATGGGAATAAGGCAGTCACCGCCTTCCCCATTGAGGGACAGAGCAGGCACAGGGGTGTTATAAATACCAAACAAACGAAAAAAGGGTTTGTCAGTAGTTCAAATGCCTTTCACTATTACTAAATACTGGTTATCAGATTGGCATCAGCCGATATGGCTGGTAAATCATCGGCTATCAGTATCGGCCAAGAATATCTTTATTGGTGCACCCCAATATATACATATTAGAGGTACGCTGATATAATTGGTCCATATTGGATTGGCACCAATAAAAGGACAATTGATGTTATCGGCAATCGGCCTTTTTTGGCCAGTGTGGCCAATAATGTCAACGGTAACCATAGGCGACGCTAAGGGAGGAATGGGTGGGGGGCATGTGCACCCCCTGAGATTGGCCCTTGCTGGCCAGGGAGCACCGGCCAGTGCCCCCCCGGAGAAGCACTTCCAGTTTTGCTGGCGACACTTCCGGTTTAGCTGCTGGCGCTTCTGGCCCCTACCCCTGCCCCAGCCTCATTCCCTCCCTTATCATGGGGGCTTCGATATGCCTCCCCACACCCTTTCCCTCCCCCACACCCTGTCCCCCACCGACTTACCAGCCAGATGCTACTCTCTTAGCTGCTGGGCTGCATATTGGCTATTGGATAAGTATTGGCCAATATGACTCGTTAATAATCGGCCATCGGTATAAGCCAAAACAATTTTTATCAGTGCAGCCCTAATACATACACATATTAATAGCCAAATGTATGGCCCATCCTCTCCAGTCTTGTCAATGATTTATGACAAGAGAATTCCTCAAAACCAGTATTGGAGGGGAGACTGCTAATTCTGCTTTTAACAGAGATTGTCTGTAGTCTTGGATTTTTACCTCTAATGACCTTCCATTTTAAACATTCATCTTTGCTTCAGTATATAAATATGGAGGCAACCATGAACAGCCTCACAAACAAAAGCTCTTCTAAGACTATTTCACAAGGTTTAAGGAAAATAAAAGTCAATGCCTGATTTCAAAGACCAAATTGTTACTTTAGAAATTAATCCGCAAAAGGAACAATCGGTTATTCAGAATATAATCACAAGTTATGTCATTAAGATAAGTCTGCATTTAAAATGTTCAGGAACACGTGGCTATTAGCAAAGGCAAATGCTAACAAGGCTCCCACCCAATCTGGCAGCCATCCTGTATCTAGCCTGAAATAGAAAGGAGGATACGATTAGCAAAATAAAGTCCCATTAGTTTTATATAAAAAGGTAGGCAAACTGGTTAACGTTTTTGGTGTGTATTTATTAAGCATCAGCAATTTATGATTTACATGCTGGGAGAAACACAAAAGGAAAGAATATTTATAGAAGAAAATGCTTTTTGCCAGAAATTGCCTGTGTCGCCTTGCTATTCCTGAAGACATGTGGGTGTGTGAAGAATAGCTCTTTAACTTGCATCTTAGCTTTTCCTTAGTCAGCGGTACAACACAAACCTCATTTTGGGGACATCAGCCTGTTTACATGACAGAGACTGGAAAGTCATTTATGACTCCTCTGTATGTTGCTATCAGAAGTTCAAGCACCTTGCCTCGCCTAGACCCTATCCTATAAATTACTCACCTTTTTTTTTTCCTTTCCCCTTTGCTCGCCATAGTCAACCAATAGCGCCAGCCTTTGTGACCCTTTACATCTTTCTTCACTCATACCTCCATGGTACCGTTTACACAATGAAAATCCCCGCTCAACCAATTGCTCCTTTGCCCAGTTTAAATATGCCTTAAAGCTGTATGACTTCCGCAGCAGCAAGAGCAATTAAGTTAACTCAATTTGATGAGCCAAATTCGGTACCAACATCAACAGAAAGAACTCCATTTTAATGCTGCTACAGCCTGTTATTATCAAATTTGGGACAGGAAGGAAGGAAGGAGAGACTTTTAGCCATAGGTTACACTCTGTTAGAGGCTCCTTTAAGAACTATTAGGTTTAAGTTACTTACTATTCCCAATGTTGTAAATGATGTAACGTGTGTATCGCACTATATGGTCTTAATACACTCAGGACAACAAAAAATCTCTAACAACATCAGTCCCTCCATGCCAGTTCCTGCAACAGGTGTGTCTTTGTGTCCCATGAATATTAACAGGAGTTTAAAGATGGTCTTCCCATGACCAAAATATTATAAAAATACACTTACTGGTATCCTTTCTTCAATATTTAGTTCTTTTTCATCTGGAGGTTTCCAAGCAGGAGCCCAAGAAGGGGTGAAGTTCTCTTCTTCTGAATTGTTGAAGAAGTGCTTGGAAACTACTGAAGAGGGGCTTACCGAAGTCAGGTCAACCTGGCTACTGGCCTGAGAACTCACCAGGAGGTTCAAACTATCTGGAGAAATATCACTGAAATTGTCCATGCTGATATGGCCCGTAGAGTGCTCTGGGCCATGCAGCTGTCTAGGCTCATCTTCTTGACGACTGTATTTCTTCTCCTTATCATTTGGATCGCATCCTTCCTGTCTCAGAAGCTGGGCAACCCTTTCACTGGAAATTAAGACATTTTGGTCTGAACTTTGCCCCATGCTATTTTCTTCATCATCATGTTCGTCATCACTGGACCCAGCACTGACAAGGACAGCTTTAAATTTTTGGCTCGTGTAGTCTACTAAGCTTTCTTCACTTTTTTTAAGTGCAGGCATGGCAAAATCACTGCTCTTGCCTGCTGTAGGCTGACCCACCTCCTCTGGATTTGTTACCTGAACTTCAGTCTGTGAAGCTTCCCTGCTAATTACATTGACCGAATGGTCAGACTGCGACCGAGCAAGAGGTGCAGCATGTGTCGATTTTGTGTCACAGAAATGCAAGCTTGTCATTGAACCTGCTTCTCCTCCAAAGGATGCAGCTAGACCACTCTTGAGGTTACCGCTGTTGTTCTGCTTTGATAAAATATGGTTTAAGGAATCTGCAATCGTGCTGTATGCTTGCTTCCTGGGAGAAACTCCACCCAGGCTGTGTAAAGCCAAAGCATCAGACATCTTCTCCGCCGACTGGCTCACGTTCCAAGCCCCGACTTTCTCCATAAAACTAAGTGAAGGCAGAGACTGAATTCTCCCCGTATACGGATAGGCTGTTCCTAACGACTCTCTGTTTTCTTCCTGCCCATTTGTGGGTGCATGACACTTCTTGACAGAAGGTGTAAGTGTGCTGGCAGAAGACTTCGCAGAAGTTTCTTCATTTAAGCCTGTAAGAGAGGCCTGAAGGCTTGATTTGATTGGGATAACCATGCCAGGTACTTCCTCCTTCATATGTCTGCCTAAAAATAACCCTGGGGTGGACTGATAGGTTGGACAGGCCAGATATCCACAGAAGGAGCCATCACCTGGGGGAAGGTTAAATGAAGGTGAAATTCCTGCGTCTTTGTGTCCTCTCTCTATGATAACATCCGAAAGAGTTGATTCACGTCCACTAACTCCAGCCTGGATTTCCACAACAGACATCTCCTTTTCACTGGAGAGTGAAGGAGATTTTGCATTAGTCGTGATTGACAGGTGAGGCTGATTGCCCCTGAGATTCGTCATTACTACAGCAGGGGCAGGTTCCTCTTTGCGTTGCTCAGACATCACTGTAGGACACAGCTGCTTTGGCTGCTCGGCCAGAAGAGCTCCTCGAGGCTCTCTAGTAACACCGGAGAATTGCAGCCGAGCAGAGTTGCTCAAACCTGCGCTGTGCCCCTTAGGCAACATGAACATTTCGGTAGACTTTGTAGAAGATGCACCTTTGGCATTAGTGTTTTGAAGGGGTTCAGACATCTTAGAAGAACCAAGCTCAGAAGTGCTCTTTCCTTCTTCCAGCTGCTGATGTAACTCTTGATATTTTTCTAATGCTTTTGACTCGCTCTCAGCCAGATCTGTGTTTTCCACTTGCTGCCTTGTTTTATTTTTCTCTGGTTCTTTAGTCGAAACACTCTTGCACGAGGAGTTCTCTGAAGAAGATGAGAAGCCACCATGGCTGGTTACGCCTACTTCTTTCTCCAGCAACTCGAGGAGAGCAGGAGCTGGAACTCTGCTGTCCAGAAAGAAGGGATCATCATTTACAAAAGCACTTTTAGCCTCCGTTGCAAAAGGAGTTTCTGACTGCTGTGGTTTAGCTGAATCATTTTGCAATGTTTTTGAAGTCAGGGTTGTTAAATCTTCGCCACCTTCTTTAGGGAGCAAATCCGTGACGCTGAAGTCAGATTTACAATCTTGACCTTCAGCCGCCTGCTTCCTCTCCACAGTTATCTGTCCAGACGAGGAAAGTCGGGGCTGAGATACATAGCTGCTACAGTTGACACCGTAAGGTTCAAATGCACTGATTGCAAGTGGATGTTGGGACAGCGTGCCGCTGTCTGAATGTGAGGTTACTTCGGTGGCTGCCAGCTGCACAGCTTCACTGATCTGCAAAGGTCTTAAATGCTGCTCAGAAGCACCAGAAACATCAGGGGTTCCTCTGAAAGATAGAAGGGAAATAAATGGTCCTGATAACATTCGACTTCCATTCATATTTTCTGTCCACATTGAAACAAGCTAGAAGTAGGACCTCTGCACCAGAGCAAACAATCAGGATTTAGCAGTAAGATTATCTACCTCAATAGTTTGCTTGATGGATAAAAATCCATAGACAGAAGCCAATTTACATCAAAGTGCTCTATCTTTATATAATAATACTCTTCTTTCCAAACTATTAAATGCCACTGGTAGAAAACGCTGGTATGTCAACATTTTCCACCAATTTAGAATCAAAACCTTTGCATTCAGTTAAATAAATGTGACCAGATTTGCTATTTTTATTTATATTTTATATAAAATCACAGAAAAGTTAGGGTTGGAAAGGACCTCAGGAAGTCAAAATCCAGTCCAAATCCTGCACACCCACAAACATAACACTAAATTAACATCTTAGAGCTTTAAAGATTTTTTTTTTTAAACCATCCTCCAGTTGAGGCTTCAAAATATGTCATTCTAAAATATGTCTTTTAGAATATGTCTTAAAAATATTATAATATCCAGGCCAGAGATAAACAGCAAGGGTTGCAATAATGAAAAAAATTCTGTAAAATTTCTCACATTTTTGTGAATTTTTAGCTACCTTAGGAATCAAAACCCGTGGAAGAGGTGACATATTTTATCTCACCAACTAGATATTTGCAAACTAGATATTACAAAATATCTAGTTGGTCTAATAAAAGATATCACCTTTTCCACGAGTTTGGATTCCTTTTGCCTCTAGACCAATACGACTACAACCTGGATACCTAGCTACCTTAGGTGCTTTTTGACAATCGTTTTTCTAAAAGTGTCACTACACTCTGTGACAATTAGGCAGAAATGTAATGGAAGAGCAATTATGGCTCGAACTACCAGGTAAGCAACAGGCTGAGTCATAATAACACTTATTCCTGATCTTGTCTCATGCAACTTGCACCATTAGCAATGTTCAGGTACATCTCAAAACGCGCAGATTTTCTTAAAAACAGATGGCTCTTTCTGCCATGTTTCACCCCCTCTCAAAGACCTCTTAGGAGGAATTTAAGTGAAAAGTAACATTAAACACCATATCTGAAACTTTTGACGGTGCCTTTGTACTGTTAGGACCAGGGCTGGACACAGGCATGGGCAAACAGGGCAGCCACCCAGGGCCCAGAGAGAAAAAGGGCCTGAAAATGGTAATTTTTTTTGTCTGGGGCCACCAACAGTATAGGTATAGTGCTGGTTAGGACAGGACAGAAGAGAGTAAGTCAGAACTAAGACCTTACACTGGTCCCTGCACATATCAAAAAGATCAACCCAGCTGCATTATCCCAGGGGATGGATATATTTGAAAAGCCCCAGACGAAACCATTCAATTCTCATCTCATTAAGGACATTCAGAGACTCGGAAAGGGCTGTGGCTATTTATCATCAAGAACAGGGGAAAGGAAGGAAGAGAGCAGCAGAACTGTGGCAGGATCTTCCCCACATCAGACACATGTACACATCCTACCTGCGTCTTTATCCTATTTCTAGCTACACGCCAATGCGATCATTTTCCCCGATTACATCATTAATACAAATTATCGCTTGCAAAATGACAGGAGCAAAGAAAAAACAATTATCGGAGGTCAAACAACTTTATCCCACCTTAGCGGAGCAAAATTCAGATCGGTTTGCTGAAACAGGGTTTCATCCAAAAGCCTTTGACCCGGTGTAGCATAGGTCATCAACAGTGGGAAACGGGGAGAGAAGCGACTGTCCTGAATTTCTGTTAAGATAAAAAAATATCATGGTTGTGTGATAATCATGAAGTAGTCAAGGCTTGCTAAGCAACCCCTTACTAATCCAGCTGCCCTGCCAACTGGCATAGCTTTTTAAGCCTCAAAAATGCCAATTATGGTAAGAAGTTGTATAATCCAACAGTGACAGGTCCCTGAAATAAATGAATCAAAGTGAAACACAAATAATACTGATTTTTGTCTTGTATAAGACAATGTTATGATTCCTTAAAAAGACATCCTGTCAGATAGATGATGGCATTTCAGAAAATCAGAGGTTTAAAATCTTTAAAAAACAGGGTACAAAGACACATGTTAAATCAGTCTATCTGCTCACCCAACATGTCACCCTGCAGCTAAATGTTCTGGTCAAGGAGACAATCGAGGTAACTCAGCTCCCACTGAAAGGGCTCAGCCCCAAGGAAGGCTACTACGTTGATTTACAGATCACCATTGGCAATAAAGATCCCATTAACTTCACAATATCGTTTTCTATTTTTCTGCTTTAAGATCTAAATTATAGGAAAAAGAAGAAGTCGGATAGTATAAAGTGTAAATACTGGTTGATTCAAAGTCTTCACTCTGAAAAAATTCAAATGTTGCACCAATTGCACTAAGAAGGGATCACATTTAAAGGACACACACACTCTTCTGGAGCAACTTCAAATGGCAAGTTTCTGGGAGGGAATCTGTACAATAAAATGTATAAATACGAGAGGCATTTAGTTGGCTAGTATATAATTACACAACACAGAGTTTGGCCAAGACTGTTGTCAAAGTGCCACAGGATTCGCAATGATCATGAATGACCACCTCACCTGAAAAGTCATGCTAACGGCTGGTTAACGCGATCGGGTTGTTTCCATCACTGAAGTCCTCTATAGAGGCTCATTCATTTTGACATCACGTTCAAAGCTTGGCACCAACCTCAAAGTGCTCAGACCTCTGCTACTTATTCTTCACAGGCCAGCTTCAGGATGCCTATCACCTCCATTTCACCCCTTCTTGATCTGGACCGCCTTACAGATTCGCACAAAAATGATTTCCATGATGACGATGTATGGTAGAGCTCCTCTGCTCAATCCACATTTCGGTCCTCCTGAAAGCCACAGGTGCCAAACTGATGAGGGAACGGAGGAGATTTCCATATAAACTCCCTGTGGTTTTCCTTCTCTCTCTCCTTAAACTGTGAGCTCCTTGGAGCTGGGAGCAACCTCAGACGTTTCGAAAGCACCTGGAGCGTGAAGAGCGCTCGTGCCAAACAACTAGGTAATGGAGATGACGTATTCAGTAGGTGGGAAGAGCTCACTGACTCATGGTGAACTCCTTGGGCAACAACGCCACGCTGACTTTCCAAAGAGTACTACCAAATCATAACGTTACTATGTGGAAACCCCCGATCTAATCAAGCAGTGTTAATCAATTCACTGTCTACCCACTCATATTGAAAGCAGAATGGCTTGATGATTTATATTTGGTCTTGATATCCATCTTTGAGGATGCTGCATTTTAGAAGTCCTTTGCATCTTGAACCAATTGCATGGGGGGAAAAAGGGGTCTCCACCACCACCGCAGAGCCCCAAGAACATGCAAGCATCAGCATCTAATTCTGTGGCAAACACGACTCTGTTCCATCAGAGTAAGATTTGATTTGCAGAGCGCATCTCCTTGTTTTATGGGATATTCTAATAGTCAGTTTGCCTGACTTAAAAAAAAATGCACTCCTAAATAATTTTTCCTTAATTATCATCCCATAAACAAAAAGGCTGATGTTCTGTATTACAAGAATAAAAATGTAAATATTACGAAATCCACTTGATCTTTACTGCATCTAAAAAGAGCCGTTTACTGAAACAGCCCTTTTTTGATATAGGTGATATCTCCTTTCTTGTGCAATAACAGCTGAGCAGACTGCTGGCACTGCAAAATAATTAAATACACCTGCACAGCTTGATTTTCATAGCTCTTCAGCACCTAAAATTTCGCGGACTTTAAGGGAAGCTGTAGGTGTGCGTCATCTGTAAACCTGCAGAAGCCACTCCTAATCACATCAGGAGAAGCTACTATGGAAAACAAGAACATTATTTTATGGCAGGTAAATGCTAAGCATTTCAGATCACCTACATTTTATCATGCAATGAATCCTGTCAAAGCAAAAGCAACATTTTAAATTACTGGCTATATAACTAAGGTTTTAATTCAACATACATCAATAAAACCTTAGATTTGATACGGGTTTTATAGTCACTTTATTACTTCATCGTGCAGCAAAGAGATGAATATACGGACAGAGGTAATTTTGCACTCCCAGAATCACAAAAGCAAAGATGGACCAGAACAGGTCTTTCTCCCCCATCAACAGCTAGAATAACAATTTGATTGCAAGACAATTTCAAAGAATTCATTTCATGTCAGCAGCTGTCTCCACCACATGGCAACCCTAATGTCTCTTGTAAGGAAGCCAAATTTATACTTTAGCATCTGTACGACAGACAGTAATCACGCTACAACAACCTAGAGCGGGGATTCTTTGTTTTTCTCGCATGCCATACTCGTGCTTGAGGCTACACTTCTTAGTACTCACAACAATAGTTTAAATAAAAAAAAATTGCATATTACTACAATTACTTAAAAAAAAAAAAACAACACACTAGCTCACAAGGGAACAGTACCATCCGCATTTCCCTTTGGCTCTAATTATGTTAAGCATTCACAAGGATGAAAATGAATGAGCGATTTGGGGTTGTGGGGGGTTTGGGGGGTTTTTAATTTGGTATGAATTGCTAACTTGTAGATATCCTGGAAGGACTTGACTGTGGGTATATTAGTAGCTTTGCAAATCAGGATGAAAAGAACATTTATAACATATGGAGAAGCTTGGAAAAAAAAAGAGATAGGCCAGGAAAAACAACTAAGCACTGAGGATGACATCATTGGCAGAGCGCAGATAACAGGAACCATCAAAATAAGAAACAAGAGCAAAGTTGCTTTTTTTTGTATTATGAAGTTGGCATGTTTTTGTGTGATGAAGTTTATATTTTTTTTGTACTATGAAGCTCAAGCCATGATCAGAGGCACCGCTGTATTAAGGAGGTGTGCCAACTGATACCAATATGCCTTAAATCTCCAATATTACAAATATCAGAAGTTTAAAATCATGTTAAAGCTGTACAAGGGAGACCTTGATTTAATCAATCTTTATAATGAAAAAAATGGATGCAAACCAAGGATCATATTTCTAAGGGAGGGTTTGTTTCCTCTGGTTGATATACAACTAAATATCACCTATACATTAAATTTGATATTTCCTTTTGCCAACCAGGAAAGCATACTATGCTTATACACATGTCTTTAAGCTATAAAATTGTTTAATATGCTTTATGAAGTTAGAAAAGATGTTTAATTTAATGTGTGCTGCCTCAACCTGTATTTGGATAGAAAAGGGAATTCAACTGAAAAGGACAGAACTGGTAAATAACTGTAAAGGTTAATTAACTAATACTATTTTAAACATGCTTAATTAGTAAGAGAGAAAGGGTTTCAAAACGAGTTTTACATATTAAAACAAAAGAAAACTATAGTCAGAAAAAATCAACTAACTGTTTCTGGTCATCACATTCTTCAAGGCTTTAGAGCCAGAAGATTTCATTCTTTCCCAGTATATTTTTTACTATGGCAGAAAAGGAAGAGAAAAACAACATTTTCCTGCTTTTTAATGTCTCATTTGGTTCCTGAACCTCGAACAGACTAGTCCAAATAAAGGAAAGGTTCTCTCTGCACCTACTAGCTAAACCAAGGCAAAGAGTAAAGGAAACGCTTTTCTGCACAACAGAAACTAAAAGTTTGGTCAATTTGGAAATACGGTAATATGCAAAATCTTTCTGTTGGAATTTGCTCCAACGTAAAGACCAAAAGTTGCATAAATGCAGCACGTGACAATACCAGACCTAAAGGCAGGGGAGGCCTGGATAAGAACAGATGGTTATAGTACCTCTGTTTACGCACTGTTGTGACCACTGTTAAAATGTTTGGGGGTTTTTTGCAGCTCCGCTGTTCCTAATTCTAGGCTCCTGATAAATCAGAGAGAATTCATATAAAAGCCACAAGAATGATCAAAGGATTAACATTTTGACCGTGCCTTGCAGTGAAAAAAAATCCACAAGCTCCATCTGTTGGGTTTATGGGAGAGAGAACGGAGGGGTGACTTGAACACAGCACACAAGTATCTACACATCTACACCAAAAACTGGTAAGAGAAAACTCTTTGGTGTAACAAAATCCAATGCCTGGAAGCTGATGCTGGCAAATTCAAATGAGAAACAAGGTTTAACTAAATAGTTAATCTGATGACTGTATTTACTTAAGTACCAGACGAGGCAGTCCGTACAGGGGAGTGGAGGGGAAGCCTCACCGCAGTTCTGAGTACCGGGCAGGTCCGGCTGAACTGGAGCCAAGCTGACATCTGCCCCAGGCTACAATGGTTCAGTTGATGGTGAAGGAGGCTTGCAGCCAGGGGAAAGGGAGGAGACACTGGGAACAGGGGGAACCTGCAGCCTGCCCCCCTCCCCCAATGCCTGCACATCAGTGAGCATATTGTCATTATAAATTTAAATGTGAAACAAGCTATGCAAAGGAGAACGCACACTATAGGTTATGTACGAACAAGATGACCTATTCCGTCTTCACCGCATAGGACTATACAGCTTCAGAAAGTTTTGCTGCAACTTTACTGTCATTTTCCAGGGTACGTTCTTTAACTATCATGCACCTGTATTGTGAAACTCGTATCTAGTGCATTATCTGTCAAGTGTCTGAAGCACTATGCATGCTATTCAGGCCAAAAAGTCACAAGGGCTAAGCTTTACAAAGTTTATAGGCTATGCAGAGAGACAGCACAGATCAGACCATGAGAACCAGGGACAGGTTCTACTTTCTTCCATTCTCCCCGTCTCGACTCGCTTTCAATATAGAATCACAGACAAGGAGGGCT